ACATTATAAAAGAAGTGAGAGTACGCGATGGAGATTCAATCTCCCGTCTATTTTCTGCAGCGTGCAAGAAAAGAGCACGTATATGTAATCAGAAAGACATAATAACTGAAGTGCGCAATGTAAATAATGACAGGTCTGATCGGATCAGATTTAGATCATCGTACTGTTGTGTAAAAACCTACCTGTACTTGCGTAATTTAAATCGATATGTCTACTGTCCTGTAAGCAGCAGACCATAATTCAATAATGCATTTTTGTACATAACATACTTCTGTGTATTATCATAAAATTACTACAATCTTGGATCAAGGAGATAAAAGTAGTTTTTACGATTAATAATTAATTTATTATATAACAAGTCCAGCATGTATAAAATCAGTTATTTAAAATTATAATGCAATAATTGTATACATTTTTCAGCAATAATGTCTTCATATCGCATTGTAATTTTAAAAATGCGAGCATTTATGAGTATAAAAGGTTAAAGGATATTAATCTCAGATAATAACACATTGATTATAATCATAAATATTAGTGATTGCGAGATAGAAAACACCATTTAATCTATATTTGCTGTGTAAAAAAATTAATTCTTTACTAATGCGATAATTTGTATAACATGTCAGAAAGAGTGTGCCATATATTTCAACGCTGAAACTTTCGTGTAATTTATACCTCTATCGTTGTGCCTCTTTCATAAAAAAATTGTACATACACGATATCGTGTTCGCTCGTCTCTATATGCAACAGACAGTGATGCAACACAAAATAGCGCAAAGTGCAAAACAAAATAGTACCGCAATATCCTTAGATAATTATTCTCGGCAGGTGCAACGCTCCTTAACCATAACAATTGACACTCCGTACAAAGTCAATTCCATCAAAATTGCGTGTAAATATACGAGATCTGAACTGGAACGAGGTGCATCTATATCTGTGCTTAATTGCGTTCGTTCCAGTTCACGTTTCGCAAGGCAATTGTTCATAATCCAGTGAATCCTTTTAGATGACGTGACAAGATTTCTCGCAATAAACTTAATTGCCAAGTATAATTCGGTGCAAGTAAAAAAAGTGTATTTTTTGTCAAAGACTGAAAAACAAAATTGAATTTTGAAAAATCTCGGATATCTTGTAATTGAAAGATTATATTAATTTATACATTGTATAAGCCATTACACGTTATAATAAGATATATTATATACCCATATACACTGTATACATAATTTACAATTGTAATTACTGTTGAATATATGGCAATTAGTTTTTTCTCGTCTCTCCTTTTTTAGATTCTGTGGATTCTAGACTACAGGTCTATTCAGGAATTTCTTGAGCAAGAATCTTTGACCGACGTCGTTATAGAGGTCGCGATCTGTGATTTTTTGCTCCAGATAAATAAAATTGTATACATCTTGCTTATTACGAAGACTAATTAGCACTTGAAGCAAATTACGCGATGGTAGGAAATTGATAACGTAAATATGCTGCTAATGCATTATCGATTATATGAAACTAAATATAATTAAAATAATAGGAGATATACTCGAATACATCTCTTACATTCTCTTTGACATTTCTTACGACACAGGAAAGATAGATGGATATTTCGATATTCTGCTCAATATATGATCGTTTTTCTTCCAAGACGTATTCTATATATGTATATATATATAATTATTGTGAATTATTCAACGAATATCTACACAGTACAAAAATTAATATATATTGGACTTTTATAGTCAATGGGTAGCCAATAAACTCTCTCGTTTCACTCTTTAATCGCACACGTTGTGTCAACGACCTGCGATCAGGACGATGAGAAAGTAGTTCTCGTTTTAATTTTATATACGCGTAAAATGATCTGCGTGTGACGTAAGCTTTAGTATTAATTTGAATCAGTGTGAGCCAATTGATTGACATTTACTTGCTTTGAATTATTTGCGTTTGCGAAAGGATGAAATCGCCGATGGGCAAACGCATATGATTTCCATAGAAATCTATGATTAGAAAAAAATGTAAACAAGCAATTAAAATTTATAATATCAAACGTACACAATAATAAAAAAATTCATATATCCAGAAAAAGCATAAACATTGATCTTTAATAACTAATAACATATGTCTCGTGTCGTTCGATTGCATTTCATTGAAATAATCAACGATCAGAAATATTGCATAATGCGAATGATAGAGCGTGCATGTATGCTATTACAAGGAGTGTCTGCCAGTCGTGAAGCACATGAGGGTCAACTAACGACCTCGAGTCTACGAAAAGTTTCACTTTCTTTAGCGATAGAAAGCGACTGTGGCCTTCAAAGCTAATCTATGATCTGTAGACGATTGTTAGTATTCTCTTTATGCACTTTACATTTTTTTTCATTTACAAAGTGTCAACAAATTTAAATTAATTTTTTTTTCTGGAATTTTAGTTAATTAGCTCCTGTCATCTTGCTGCTTTTCCTCTCTTAAAAATATTTTGCTACAGTTTATTTAGAATTAAAAATTAATCCGTGCAATATTTAATTTTCAATATTTTTAATATTTCATATTTTTATTACTTTTAATTTTTGATATTTACTTCAGAAACTGCCGCTCCATCGAAACTCATTATTATGATTTTTACGGTCTGCCGATCTAAGCAGATATTATCGTAACACGAGAAGTGGCGCCTAAACATTAGCGGAAGAGAATCATCTTCCGTACAATGATGGAAGAAGATCCATAGGTCAGACAGTGAAATGTGCTTTCACTTGTGAAACAGCTCGATCGAGGGAATCTCTGCGACGTTTTCAGCTTTCGATATTTTAACAGAACGAGGAATTTCATGGAGAACCTGTCGCCGGAATCGCGACTTTTTCTCACTCGCTAATTACGCCGACATCCTTGGGAAACATCAAACTGCTATTCGGAGCGTGACATTTCATTTTTTGAAATATCATTAAAGACAGATGAGATTACTAATTAATATCATTATTACATCTCTTTCTCTTTAAATTAAATTAAATTAAAAAACATTTTTTTAATCAAAAAATCACTACAAAATTACAATATATGCATATTTACGTAAATGTTAGAAGAGAAATTATTTAAAACACGAATCACGAAACGTTATTCGATATTAATTATTGCTGATTTCTTGTTTGATTCTTATACACGTCAACGTCTTCCGAAAAGGATGTCAACGACACGCGTAACATTCAGGAAATGAAGAGTGCGGTCGATCAGGAATTTTCACTTCCGTCGGTGTAACATCTTCTTAGGGACCTCTGTCTGATTTATCATTTACATTTGCAATCGAAGTGAAATCGTTGGACATGCCAGATGGAGGCGCATCGATTAATAGAGATTCTGTAATTATCGCATGACGCAAGAGAGCGAATCCATGCAAATATAATATTACAACACTCTCGTGTCGTTAACTGACAAAAGAGATGCTTCGAGATCCTCCGGGAGATCGGTTTGAAGAACAAAGGCCGAATTCTTCGCGGGAAGAATTTTAGTATCGCGCGGACTTTCACCCGTCTATTCGAAATAAACGAAAAAAGCTCAAGACGTCGATTTATTGCTGCGAGCAATTAAATCGATGTTTTACGTAATGTTTTATGTATATATGCAGACCTGCATCCCAGTTATTTGCTCGCACTTAGTTAATTTCACGAGTCATTAAAATAAGGCACAAAACACGTGTCGGATGTCAAGCGAGGTGTGTGTAGATTTCCTCATGCGACCCGTTTAATTCAATCGTTAAAGATATGTAAAGTGAAGGATACATCTATATACGGAGGACAGAGAAATCAGAAGAGATTTACATATAAACGGGAGCATAAGACGCCGGTTTATGCGAAAATTGCGTAAACCTGTCAATTCATAACGACGCTGAATAAATCGTCTGACCTGTTACACGTAAGAAATGACAGAGACAAGTGTCAAATGAGAGACGGAAAAGAGAGGAGGGAAAATAACTCTGAAGAAACTAATGCCCTAGAGTAAAAAAGTTTCATTGAAAGTGTTTCGAGCTATGCAAATGAGCAGTTTCGACAGATCCTCTTTGCAGAAGCGGAGCTGCGAATTTTTCACATCGATAGTTCTTTCGAGAGAATACGTTTTATAGTTTCTATCGAGATCGTTGAATCATTCTGATATTATTTCCGTTACAGTTAATCGACCGTATTGTCAATAGAAACGAAGAAAGGCGAATAAATGACGAGCATCGTTTTCCTAGTAAGACAAACTAGACAGTTAATGACATCATTTAGAAATCGCGTAACTTATGCGTAACCATACGTCCGGGAATACATATTATGTATATATCCGGGGTATTTATAATGTATGTTAACTTGTATTTAAAAAAAAAAGTGCTGCCTCTGTATAATTTCCTCGATTACGTGACGCATCTCATCCAATTCTAATTTACATTTTTGCTTGATAAAGCAAAAATGTAATCGTCCGTGTGTTTGTCTGCCTATGTCTCTTTCAACACTTCGTCACACGTTTACAGGCTAACAAGAAGCCGTAAGAATACTAGATACGCAATTGACTGCTCCTTCATAAAAGCGAAATGCTCCTCTGTATGCACATCACTTCCGGGTATAAACTCTCACGCATACATATCAGACACGGTACGCGGTAAAAGAGATGCCGAGTAATGTAAACAACTGCTGCACGCGAGCAATAAGTTTCCTTAAATGCATTTTAATGCGCTTTTATATGCATCCTGTGCATGCTCCGAATATAATAAATCGCGAAGATTCTTCCTGCGTGAAAGAGTTATTTATCGTTTTCTTCTCGCTCGATCATTACATCTCGTTGCTTTCTCTAATTGAAAAATATATTCTCAAGTTAAAGTCAGATTTACTCTTTTTATCTTTTAATAATAATCATTAATAATAAATAGAAAATAATTATGACGTCTGGTTATATGACAGATGAATATATAAATAAATTTATTATTTACATATATATTATAGTATTATTAATAATAATGTATATTTAAATGTGTATCAAAGTCCGCAATATTGCGGCAGCTATTAAAAAACTGATGACTGGTAATTCGGTCATTACACTTTACGCTAATTATTCGGAAATTGTGGTTTAAGTGAGGGTAAAACGCGAAAAGAGATTTGACGTGTTCCGTCCTTGCGCCGCTCAATTATCCTGCAATTATTGTGCATTAGCTGTTGTACATGTGCCGACCTGTTTCAACAAGTTCATCGTTGCGAAATGACCAGCATTTATTGGCGAAATCATGCGCCGACTTTCCGGAGGTAGTGCGGCATCTGTGCGGAACGAATGCTTTTCCCCCAAGAGATTTGAATAACCGAGAGACTGGAAAATACAATTTCAAACACTTTCATGGAATATATAATGTTAAAAAAAATACAACAGTAGTATCGCGGAGAGCAATCTTCTTTCCACAAGAATTGCAAATTAGAACTGAAATTTCTTGATCTGCTGCTGGCCTCGCCTTCGCGTGAACGACTCGTAGGCGTTGTTCGCAGGAGGCGAAGCGTAAGCTTGATTTGTCGGTGGACCGTAACCTGGATTTGTCGGTGGACCGTACGCAGGAGTCTGAGGCATCTCCTGAGAAGATCCTTGCGACGAACTGGCTGACAGACCGGCGCTGCCGCTGGACGATGTTCCTGACAGATTCGCGCTGGAGGTCGACGACGTCGCCGACAGCTTCAAGAAGGCACCCAGGAGTTCCTTTATGACCGCGTTAAACATATCGTTTCCGCTTGCGGGCGCCTACGAGGTTTATCGTGAAATTATTTCGAACAAAAGTATAATTTATAGTTAGCGGGGTTCTTAGAATTCAATAGAATCTAAAACAAAATTAATCAAAAGGGAGATAAAAATAATTTCTCTTTTTTATTCAATTATTTTAAAATTCTTTTAATGTCTCTTTTTGATTGAATCAAGAAAAATTCATTAAAAGAGAAATAACATTAATTTCTGGGTGTGCTTTATATTTATTAAAGAATTTAATAAAATCAAAAATAGATTAAAAAGATACAAATATTCTGTTGATGCATTCATTGTAATTATTGTAAGATGCACAATTAAGCTTGTGAATATCAATCGATTTAAAAATCTTGAAAAATAATTTCGCGCGCTTACTTGAGGTTGATAACTGTCAATATTGCCATAACTGCCGTAGGTTGTAGGCGCATAATACGTGTCCTTCCGAACTCCATAATTTCCATAATTTCCATTTCCATTTCTATTTCCATTTCCATTTCCATTTCCAACTCCATAATTTCCATTTCCAACTCCATAATTTCCATGTCCAACTCCATAACTTCCACCTCCTTTTTGACCAGAACCAGCACTAGAACCAGCGCTAGTACCAGCGATCAACCCTGACACAAGATTACTTATTATAGCTTTCAAGTCGGAATCGCCTGCTGAAATAGCGGATTCCTAAAATGTAAACATTGATTTAGAGAATTTAGGAAAAAATTTAACATATATGTATACATAAAATGTAAAAAAATATTTTTATGTGTACATAAAATGTAAAAAAATTTTTTATGATGCATACTTTACTCAGTCTAGCGACGATAGAAGCAACAAGGTTCGAGAATATTGTTTGTCCATACGGTCCCTGCTTCTAATCGATTAAAAAGAAAAGAATAGAGATAAATTATGATGCAAAATTACAATTGGAAAATGCTGCAAAGGTTTATACATACGTATACACATTTGTTTTTGCTTAATTATAAATTACCTCGCTTAAAGGACCAGCCAATTGTCCAATCAGAGATCCCGAATTAATTGCACCTTGGGGCTAAAAATAAAGTCCTATCCGTTCATATATCTTGCATAAAAAATCATGCGGTTTTTTGCTTTGCATAATTATATACGAAATAAAATTCTTACACCACTACTGGCTTGACTCAACGGGCCGCTCAGAGGCCCCGAAAGAGGTCCTATCAGTGGCCCTATCAGTTGAAGGATAGGTCCTAGAATGGCACCAGAATCGCTACCTTGTCCTTCCGGGCCCTGGAATCAAGAGAATTTAACGTTATCGAAAGCCCTATCAAAAGTTCAGTTGTATAAAGTCGTTCGATTTGAATTTACCTCGCTGAGCCTTTGGGAAAGTGGCAGCAAAATTCCAGGAATATCAATTCCACCTTCCTCGTTCGGCTAGAAATATTCTATCTTATGTAACTAAATATTTACAGATAATTTTTTAGAATAATATGCATGAAGCATATTAATTTTAATCTTACATCAGAGAGTTCTTCGAGAAGAGGAATCGCAGCTTGAAGCACTTCCCTTATGTCAGTCTCGGAATTTGGCTAAAATACAGATTATCATTGTTATTATTATTATTTGCATATTAAATGTATTTCTAAAATTGTGTTGCAATGTAATATATGCAAATCATTACACACACGAATTTTAATATTCTTAAATATGAAAAATTCATATGCAATATTAAAAAACATCATAACAAAAATATTACAAGTTTATATGTGTCTGTCTATATGTCTTGATATATTATCCTACATCACTAAGGTCTTCGAGAAGCGGTGCAGCTAACGGTAGTAAATCGATTATAGCTTGTATAGACCCGCCCTCTTCTTCTTCGTCGTCATCATCCTCTTCTTCTTGGTCTTCTTTTTGATCCTCGCCGTTTTGATCGTTGTCGTCGTCGTCGTCGTCGTCATCGTCCTGCAAAATAATAATGTACATTAAAACATAATTAACAGAACGTAGCGTTCTTTTTTATAATAAAAAAAAGTGTAAAAAAACTATATACGTTCAATTGCTGCGCTTGTTGAGCGCCCGTTTCATTCCCTTCTTGATTAGGTGGCGTCTGAAATAAATACATAATTGCATTTTATTTGACACGACATTCTTGTAACAAGCGACTATTTGTCGCATTAATTATTCTAAGTAAGTGTATGCTATGAGTATGCAAATAAAAATCAATTATGCTGCGATTTAAAAGTGTGAAAAAAGTTACTCCTCAATTCACCGTCTTATATTATGCATTTTTTTTATGAATGCGAAATCAATGTGAATTCATGAATTTCGTCACTATTTCTGCGTTTATGATAGATTTAAAAGAAGAATTTTGCCACACCTGGTCCTCGCTTGTGCAATAAGATTACTGACACGCGGGATGTTCTTTTCATATTTACATATTTATGCGCTGGAATAGTCATCAGATTGCAAATATCGTGTGGTTAACCGATTGCGAACTACGTGAATTTCACTTTTTTCTTATTATCGCTGTTATTAATCTCCACCGACCAAAAGAATGCCTTTGTACGATGACCGAGTAATGGCCAATTCAGCCACACGTGTTAAAATAAAATACAACAGCTCTAACGAACGATTCATCTCCAGGAATATGCGCGCGTTGCAGAATGATTTAATCCCTAAACGCGGATGCAGATGCAAGGGGCTGATATATAGACTTTCACATTTAAGATCCGCTTGTCGTTTTATCGAGCGTGACTATTACATGATCTCACTTGACTTTTTATAGTATTGTAGTTTTGCAAATATTATTACAACAGTTGCAACTTTGACATGATCCTCGAATCAAAAGCTAATATAATTTAAATATAGTGACATTTCTTTCCTTTTAAATATATATTCGTATATTAAATATTAAATATATATTTTATAATATATAAAATATAATAAAATATATATTAAATATATTAAAAATATTAAATATATATTTTATAATATATAAAATATAATAAAATATATATAAATATATTAAAAATATTAAATATATATTTTATAATATATAAAATATAATAAAATATATATTAAATATAATAAATATTAAATATATATTATAATATTATATATTGTATTTATTTTGCAATTATTACGTTATAATTAAAAAATTAATAATTTGAAATTACAGGCATTCGAAAATTACGCTGCTTATTGAGATTCTACTCACCTCGTCGAAGGTCACCTGTATCTTCTGTGCATTCGTACCCTTCAAGATAGAGAGCACAGGCGTCGCGACGTTGATCTCAGTGGTATTCTTCGGCAATCTCTTCAGGATCCCCAATCCCCTCAATAAATCGCCAAGTATGGACGGCTGTTTCTGTGCCTTCGCGTTTTTCGTATTTTTCTCATTCTTCTTCTTCTTCTGTCCATCTTCCTCTTCCTTCTCTTGCTCTTCCTTCCTTGCACTCGCGGTCGATTTTTTTCTATCCGTATCCGTGCCCAAATCATTGAAGACAACGTCGACTTGTCCGGATTCGTTTGTGAGTGTGTAATTTTTCTCGAAATCCTTCTCAAATTGCGAGAACCCGTGCAAGGAATCCCTGGGATGAAACGCGAAGTAATCCTTCGGCTGCGTATTCAGGATCGTCGTGGCTGCCGGAATTTGACTGTTGATCGTTATCACCGCCTGAAACGGGAAGGTCACCAGGGGTTCGCCTAAACGTGACAGATTCGTCGCTGTCAGTTCGTGCGCGATCGGCAACGTTGGTCCCAGCTCGTTGTCGAAGGTCCTGAGAACATTCAAAGGACTCTTCGCGGTCTCAAGCTTCCCCGGACTCTTGAAACCGGAAATATTCCGGTACGTCGCAATGGCATCGCCGGTTCTCAAGGACGTCGGAAAATACGCCGGCTGTCCCAGGATGTCCAAATTCCCGAAGCTGTCGAGCTCGCTTTGCGTAAACAGATTCTCGTAGTTGCCGAAATTCGCGTTGAAGTTCGCGAGATCAACCTGTCCGTTGATGTCCGGGAAGCTAAAGGGGTCCTGCGGACTGGATGGGGTAGGTTTCATTCCTCCAATGGGCAAAGGATAAGCCATGACTTGCTCGTCACCTCTTCGCGCAGGAGGTGCCTGGAGTCTTCGCGCCGGATAATGGAAGCCTTGTTTGTCGCTGATCGGCGCCTTCTTATTCAGCATCGACTCTTTCGAATTTATGATCGAGTTGTCTGCCGGAGACACTCGTTTCTCGGAGTTTATCAGATCCTTCAGGTTACCCGACGTGGGATTAATCTTGGACGCCACCAGATTCATCACGTACTTGGACCAGGCTACTAAATCCTGCTTCGAAGCGATCTTCAGCGGCAGCTGAATCTCCAGGATCCTCCGGGAGGCCGAGAAACCTTGTTCGCTTTCGTTGGGTGAACGTTTTCGAGACTTGAAGGGCGCCGAAATCGCGAGGTCGGACATTAATAAAATTAGAATACAGTTTGAACGGGACAGTATCCTCGAGAATATGAGAAGCATCTTGGAAATATTCGAATGTTAATACTTTATTTGAGTAATTTTAGATTTTAGGTGTAATTAACAGGCAATTGTAATATCATGATTTCCTCGATAACATTTTTCGAACGTGTTTAACGATCTGAAAATAATATAATTCTATTCAATTTCTCATAACACCTTTTAAATAATAGCTTGTGACTTCAATCTCACACTTTATTCACTGATTGTAATCAGCAATGATTTACATATCGGATCAACAGTTTAATTAAGGAGTTTGTTTATTTCTTTTTTATCAAATATTATTACTTTCCTTGAGCAGCTTTAAATTTCAAACATAATTAGAAATTGCATAATAATTTTTATTATTTCCAATATAATATTCTCTGATAATGAATATATTTAGTAAAAAATCTCTGAAAATATTATAATATAATTAAATAAAATCTCTCAAAACTTGAAATAACAGCGCACTCGAGATCTCACACTTTAATCACTGACCGTAACCAACAACGATGATTTACACATCAGATGAACAATTTAATGAAGACGTTTGTTCATTTTTTTTCTTCATCAAAGACAACTCTTTTTTCAAGATGCACCGCACGGAAGAACACGAGGATGAAGAACTGGACAATTGAATAGGAAAATGGTCGCTTTATAGGCTGGACTTTAATCAGAGGTCTGTTTTTTCCCTGGTCGCGGAAGCGTGCACTTCTTTTCCATGCACCATCGCGGGATATTGGCTCCCGCTAATCATAGTGCATCGGATCGGGGGCGGCTCGCGCTCACTTCCGTCGTTGCGTTTCCTTCGACGAGGTCTCTCTCTCTTTCTCTCTCCAACATTTAGGTAATTACTCGCATACGAGCATGTAATGCGGCGAAACGCACGTGATGACAGGAGCGAGAGCGAGCTTTCGTAAAAGAGCGTCCAATTTTGTAATCGTATCGTAAATGGCGAAATTGATTTGCCGCAGGCGGATATTATATTATTACGTTAGAGACGACGGCTTTGATTAAGCGCCTAAACCGTCGTCGATGCGCGGAAACTTGAAACGAGTTCGTCGTTTACGCGTCTTTCTTCCGGGTGGAACAACCTCATCGATATATGTAGAGCGAATGCATCGATATACGTCGCTGTTTCGCAATACTTAGACTTCGTTAAGTCAGTTGTCGAACTAAACATAACGTCCAGTAACGATCGATTATTTAGCTAGTTTGCATCGTTAGAAATTTTATTATACGTAATAGAACAAATGCGCACTTTTTTCTGATATATCTGATAAATGGCAAATTTTTTTAAAACTCTATTTTTAAATTCATGACATCTACAGTACCCTCCACAAATTTGGAAACACATTTTACGGTTAAACAATCGCTTGACAGCGATCTGTTTAGATTTTTGGTATGAATATATCGTAAGATATTTAAATGACATTTTTATATCGTCATTTATATATCTTACGATATATTCATACAAAAAATCTGAACAGATCGCTGCCATGCGATTGTTTAAAACTATAAAATGTAAGGTGTTTCTAAACTTGTGGAGAGTACTATACATGTGCGTTTTTCTTTTTTCATAAAAAATCTGCATTTCCGCATTTCGTCTCGCAAAATAAATAATCCGTCATGAAGAAGAATAATATCAAGAAAGTAAAAACTATGGCAGTAGAGTGAGCTTATCTCCACCGTGACCGTGATCGTGATCTTGAAGTTGTGAAGCCGTGAACAATGAGAGAATAAGTCCCGGTAATGAGTGATAGTATCCTATTTCTCGGAAAGCACAAAGCAAGGACGCCTTCGCACCCACTAATGACAGTTCTCACGTCTGAGTTCTCACGACACCGTTGGAAGGTGTTGATCTAGCTAGGCGCATGCAAGAAAAAAAAAGAAATCTAAATTAGAGAACACTTTATTACGCCACTTTCTTTGAATAATTCGTGCACCTGATTATTTTTCAAGATAATTTTTATTTATAATATTTTTATTATTATAAAGATTATAAGAAAAAAATTAATGATATATATATATATATATATATTTTACAATAATAATATTATAATTTATTATACTAATTACACTCCTAACTCCTGTAAATTTTTTTAATTTACAAGCGATTACACAGAACGAAATTGTCTGAATTAAATTCGATTTCTAATGAAATGAACACTGTTGGACTATTAATAAATAATTTATTGGAATAATAAAATCAAAATGCATATCTTAAAAATATTAAAAGTAGAAATATAATAATTAATAGTAATAATATTTATAATACTAATTCACGTATAATAATTAATTAATTTTATTTTTACAAGATTTATTTTTTAAATGACGGCGAAAAAAGAGAGAAAGTTAAAGACAATATATTCGATGACGCAATATATTATAATTGTAGGATATATTATTTGCGAAATCCCACAATATAGTGCGCAACAAAAATAAGCGGATGTCAGTAAAATATCAGTTCTGAGTATTTCTTAAATGACAGGAATGATCGGTTACATCTGGTAACCTTTCACTTTTTTCAGCCTTCGAAAAAAGAAGGCCGAAAAGAAAGGTTGGCATAAAATTTGTGGGCAGATATCACCGTTACTTTATTTCAGGATGTTCACAGAAAAATGCAGTATTACAACATTTGGAAAAAATTAATTGCAAAATTTATAATATATATGGTATTTAAAAAAAAAGAGTATATATTAATTCATTTATCTTTGACATCTGTAGAAGGACAGTAATTAATTGTGCACGATAAAATTTTATGTATTTTTTGCGAAATAATTTTTCTAATATTAAATTGAAATAATCAGTGAATAGCAGAAAACGATGACTCGATCATGTGCAATCGAGCGCGATAAAATCAACATGACGGGGCGAAAGAATGAAACTTATGAGACCAATGGACTTTCCATTACACAAATGCACGTTCAGTGTACATCGTGCTGCCAAGCCATTTGTGCGATTCGCAATATCGTGTTTGCAACGTGTCCTTCCGTCTATATCTGGTAAAATTACACTAATTTTTGCAATTTTCACAGAGAAAGGAAAAAGAAAAGTGCTTGAGAATATAGCTAGGCGTAAATGGACTTTACACACTTGCAAATATTAAATAAAATATAAAGACGTAACTTATATTTATATACATATATATTTATTATTATATAAATTATGATATGATTACAGTTTTGCAAGCTAACATTATCATTGATATTTCTCTCTCGAAGTAAATTAGTATGTGTAAAACAAAGAAATTCTATTCATTTCGTGTATTATATATTTATCTTGTTTGATAGCAGTTTCTTATAAATTATAATACTGCACCATTATAGTAAATTGAAAAAGTTTAGAGAAAAACAACGAAATAAGATATAGACTTATATAGAAATAATATAAGATTCGTAAAGGAAGTCGCATTAGATAGCGATGAGATAAAAACTGGTTTCCTCAGGATTTATGTGAATTTTTATCACTGTCTATCAATATATAACATATATATACCTTTCCAACTTGATCGATTACTTCGTCTTTCGCGAACCAGACAAGTTCCGCCCGATTATAATTAGGCTTTAACTCTTGGCCAATGTAAGTCAATTGGTTGTTAAGAAAATTCCATTCGTCTACGCGTTAGAAGCTCGCTTAACAAAAGTGAAAGTTCGCAGATCTAAGAGATCTAGAGATACAATTATAATTAAACATTTATTTTCCATTATAAATAAGATTTGTGTAACAACTGGATAAAATCTGGCGAAATCGGCTTTTTTCGCGCTGAACGTTTAACAAATACATCAATGAGGTGGCAAAAAAACGCAAAATATTGCTTGACTGTCTTTCATTAAAAGCTGTCAGGTAACAATTAGCTTTGAAATATTATCAATGCATATAAAGGTGTCTCCGTCTGGTGAACATTCACCAAAGCCTGAGCACTAATCGAGGTCTTTCTGTTCTCCACAGTTGTCTTATTAAAGTAGCTGTCGGTAAAATCGCCATGATTATGAAAACATTTCAAGTTCATCTATTCTACAAGAATTCCGGAAATGCCTACCTCGCCCGCTTGATTATATAATGAGGTAATAATATTATCCGCACAATAAGAAACACTAAAAGCTATTCCTTCGCTTATTCGTTTACCACGATCGTACATAACATGTGTAAAAATAAATTGTATTTTTCGCAATAAAATTTATAATCTATGTAAATTAAGTACATTAATTGAGAGGAAATAAAATAATAAAATTTGATATTCTAATATAATTGAATTTACATATTTTTGAGAAATTCCATAAGAAAAAAAACATCTACTTATTTTGTGACTTTAATCAGAAATCAATATGACATATTTATGTGCAGACTGAAGCGTGTCATCTTTATAGAATCTTTATAGAATCTACTTGAGCAATTTTTACGGAGAATTTTGTATCTTGCTTGTTTGGGCAATTCAATTTTACGATTTATCGCGAATTTTTTTATGTAGCAGACTGCCTGAAAATTATGTATAAATTTGCAGGTGTAAATTAAATTATGACATCACAAATTCGAATGACACATATGTATGTTTATCACGGTTCTTTGACGTAAATTGCTTTGAATGAAATAAACAACTTCCTATTATATTAAACATAAGCGCAATATATATGCTGAAGCCATTGTGTCTACAGAATCAATTAATTTAACTTCTGCGCTTCATTCTTATTAGCTTCTTTCCATCTTGAATTTGTATTTGTATACCAGAGCCCTTTCGATTATACAATTGATTTTAATTTTAATTTTAAGTTATAATAAAACCTTCTATATAATGTAAATTATTTATTTGTATATCAGAGCCTTTTCGATAAAATCAATTAATTTTAATTTTAATTTTATGTTATAGTTCAAATTTCTATGTTATAATATTGTAAATTATTTTCTATTTATTTCAGCGATAATTGATTCCTAGAAATACAGAAGAAGAGCTCGACGACCTATCTTTTCACCCTTTCGCAAACGCAACGTAATGATTCGAGCGATTCAATAAAGAATCGATTAAACGATAAAAAGCGCCGGAACGTTTTCTTCGACAGGTAAACCTTTGCACCGTTACGCCAATTAATGATCGTTTTCACTTTCATCAAGCGCGAGAGAAAAAAATGGTGAACCCAGCGGCACTCGCCAGTGTCACACATCCAGATATAATGCGTGAAATCTATGTTTTAGATGCAATCGAGGCAAATGCACAGCCGATTACACCCGATTGCAGTTGCTAGGTCTACGATCGCACACGGACCTGCTTTCATGCAAATCTCGTAACAGGCAAGGTTAACAACATTCGCGCTGTGGACTCTTTCTGGACAACGTGCTATTTTCAATTTTAGTGAAAAAGGCCGAAAAAAAGATGTTTGAAAAAAATCACATCATTATACTTTAGATCTAGATAGGGATAGATTAATTCTTTATTACTGAGAACGAGATATATACGTTTCTAAAATATTAAGAAAACGAATATCTCTTTCTAGCTTTTTTACATAATTCAAAATTAATACAGGCATATATGTATAATGATTTATTTAATTTTATTTCGAAAATATTTTGCAATGTCATATTATCGTGAAATTTATGTATGATTCCACATTTGTTACAACAGTTTTTTGTAAAGTTTCGCCGGATTATATTAATCTTGAAATTATGCTGCTATTATAATCTCTGTTTTACGTGAACAAAAAGAATGTGACACGTAATACTTTCACTAGAATTTATTTCCGGCCCAACAATCAAAAATACATTATATAAGAGTCTTTATAAAAATTCACACATCATGAAAATTTATGAAATGTGTAACATTTAACAAATTACTTTCCAATCTACATTCTATAAAAATTACAATGAGTCACCAGACAGAACATCAAAAAATTCAATCATTGAAATAATTATTTGCTTCTCAAATATCTAGTTTCAACTGTTCTAAGGTGAGATTATAGCGGCTATAAAAATATTCATAAATGTTCCATATTGCAGAATTTATCGAAGAACGTAATAACATTTTCCGATATCGAAATATCTTTTTTTAATGTTCTTGCAAAATCGTGTTGACCTTTGCTCGTATTTCTTTATTTCCTCTTCAAAGGTGTAACTTTTCGATAAATGCTATAACATACATTTATGGATATATTTTTATAGCACCACTATATTTTATAGTCTACAGAACATATGAACAATCAAGATTTTCGTGCCGGAAGTTTTCTTTACTTTTTTCTTTACTTAGAACTGTTAGCTATTGTTTCATCAAAACCAAGTCATTAAAGTATATTAACTGCGCTCTTTCAAAATACTCTTACATATGTCACTTTCTAATATTTGTTTTTTATATTGCATCTATTATTTTTTATATTTTATTAAATGACTAATTTCTTCATGAATTTAAATAATATTTATCTCCATAAATTTCATAATTATTTAAAACGCCGCTGATAAGCTGTCAAAGTGTTGATTAGTATTTTGACAGAGTCAATGAAATCGTTCAGTATTAATAGGCACATATTTATTTTAATACATTTGATCTACTCAATATACATATAATTGAATATTATTGCGAATTTAGTAACGCGCATTGAACTAAATAGAACAAAGAAGAAATCAAAAGCAGCAAAGGTGAGTCAACGCGATTTTGCAAGGAAAGGAGGGCCTTGGTCTCTTCACAAACACTCAGAATAGTAACGAGAAATCGGTGCGTCGTTTTTTCCAACTTAGAACTGCCTTCATAGATATATTCGTCAAATTTTGAAACAATTCTCTACACAATACATTATCAAAATGCGCAGTAATTGAGAGATAATGATAGAGATAATCATCTCTCAATGAATCAGCTGTGCCCCTCCGTTCTCAAATCAGAATAAAAATTTCGAAAAGTCGATATAAAATTCTCTGTACGCACTTTTTACTCTTAATTTCAATTTCTTAGCGTTATAACACATTTAGTATTTTATTACGATATATGAGTCTAAGTTTAGATTCTTTAAAATTACATAATATAAGTTACATGCGTACAAACTGAATTAATAATCATTTCAACCATCATTTCTTTTCCGCATAGCAATGATGTGAAACCACGATTATAATTTAAAAACTTTTTTTCGAATTAATTATAAATAGCTGCTTCCGATATCTTTCGCGTAACACTTTTGATGTAAGAAAGGCATTAACAGCTATCGATCGTTACAGGAATAATATATAGAGAGATCTTTCTCTATTTATTTCTCTATTTTCTCCAAACATTTTTTCCCCGTCACACAACACACATCCGGTTTTCTAGAATATAATTCCGATACCAGAGCAAGCATTGCGTGTTCACGTCTTTTCTTCAAGTTCTGCGTTACGTTACATCTAATTTGAAATACGTTCTTCCCATCAATGTCATTCGGTGAAACGAATAAGATTTATAGATAAAATGTGTTGCAAGCAAAGTTGCGACAATACTGAAAAGAATTTGACTGTAAACAATACATAAATAGAATTCCATAATGACAACTTTATAAGAGTGAGGGAGTGTAAACGTATGTCAGATGATGTATTTCTCATTGTTAACGTATGTGCCAATCGTACCGTCAAATATCTGTCGACCAAGACAGATCGTCATTTTCTTTCGTAAAAGGAAGCTAATTATTGCCTCACTCGTCTTTGCTGTCATTTCAACTTATACTGACAAGTAACTAGCGGAAACTGTCGAGAAAGGGGAAAATTAATCCGTCGACATAAATTCGCAATCTTTGAAAAACGAGAAAATTGGTGTGTTAACATAATTGAAAAGCTATATAGGTGAAGGTGGCATGTATGAAAAGATTGAAGATTTTATTCGATTTTATTAGATTATAAATCATTTAATTGAGCAATAGAATAAAGTCAAATGATATCGCGCAATGATTCGAGATTAATCATACAAATTTTATCTCTTTAGATAGTATTTCCTTGATGCTTTTGATTTACTGTCTCCAGAAGATAACGTTAAATAATATAATTTAATTTTTAATTTAAGTATATTTAATTGGTTATTACGCTAATTTTAAGATTTTTTATTTTTGATAAATTTTTAACCAATTTTATAAATCATTTTGCAAGATCTTTAAACTTATATCATTTTCAAACGGTGATTTGAAAAGGAAGATAAGAAAAAGGAATATTTGAAACGGATTGCGCATCTTCTATTTTGCAGAAACCTCAAATTTTACATTTCGAGATTTCTTGTGAAATGTGATAGCATGTTCAAAGTAATTATCGTTTGCGTTATTATGAATTATCTGATTAGTACTATTACTTGAACTTTTAGAATGTAACCCTGATTGTGAGTCAAATGAAACGCCCGGCAAACAGATCTCATTTCAAGATTATTAGGCGTTAATTTGGAAGAAAACGTGCAAAATTAGCACATAATTAAATTACCATATGTTCACACAGTAACACTGATTTTCTTTTTTTTATAATTTACGATTTTCTACATATTATTTCTACGATTATATAGGTTTATATACATATATTTTCATACCTTATCAAAATAAGGAAAGCTATTACAATACTGCAGATTTAAATTTAAAACACGAACTATATAAATTACGACCGGATTTTATGACAATAATAATAACTTCTATTATGATGGCATGCGGAACGCTTATCATAGAAGGTTTTACACTTAATAATTATTATATATATTCATTAGGTTATTATATTTGGTAACAAATATTACATATTAGCTTTTTTATTGGATAATTGGGAAATTACCGTATCTTTCTTCCACGAGAAGAATATTAAGCTGTAGCAATTTTGCTCATGAATATGCAAAATGTTAGATTTCTTGACTTTTTATGCTTGATTAGTCATGAGGCTACTTGCTACGATTTTCTTTATTATTAAAATATTTTGATGAAAATGAAAAACTTGCCTTTTTTTTAAATTTATATTAAATAAAAATTATATAAAAATCTACACATATAATATATTAAATAAAATATTAAAATGTATTGATACACATCTTATATTATATATTATCTAACATGTTATTTAATAGATAATTTTAAGATAAATAGACGCAGTATACAGCAGAAATATATCCTCGTTGCCAAACGAAGCATATCGCAAATCGCAAGTGCATGTGCATTCTGTAATGTGTATCCGTGTGTGTTTCGTGTTTTATTTGTGTTTGCACAATTAGGTAATAAACCGTAATTAAATTTTCACAGCCGTGTAAGTAGAGAGCAAATTGACAGATGCAATAAAATTAAGTACGATATTTCTACTATCGAGATTATTTCGAAAAATTTCATATAAATAATGTTAGGTAAAATTAAAATTTGTTCAAAGATCGTGATTTCTATGTAATTGCGTATCGCATTCAATGTATAAAATAATAATTATTTGTTTATATAATATGTTAATGCGCGATATCCGTCCACATAGGAAACATGCAATTAAATATCAAGAATAAGATGAGTAATACTATAAAAAGCGTGCATGTAAATAGCTCAAGGCGATCTATGATATATAATTATAAGTATAAATAGTGATATCTCTGTGAAGAGAAGAAATTTCAGTAAGTAATAAAAAGCAGAATTTCAAGCGTAAATTTGCGGTTGTACGTCTATTGTATTGTAAGTTACAACAACGTATATATCTACGCATCAATTCGTTAACTTCTCTCCACTTCCTATTGTCTATATAATACACCTTTTGTTGCGAAATGCTCTTTCGCGCGATGCGATGCGATATATTAAAAACCGCCAGCCGAAGCTTCAACCCTGAATTATAAAATACGAAAAAAAGAAGGGAAGCCACCTGGCAAAGTTACCGCAGCCAAATGGTTTTACATTTGAAAAAAAGAGAAAAAATTCAGCTATTAAAATGAACCATGACCTGAGCGAGGGACTTTTGTATGCACGCGCTTTCATTATCTATGGTGTAATTATTTGCAACGGCATCGTTTCATTCTAATCAATGGGAATTTACATCTAATAGCTTATGTCGTCAGAAGAGGGATAAGATTGCGAAGCTTGTTACTTTGTAATGTGAATAAAAGTGATGTTAGGACGACGCGCGCAGATGTGATGAATATGAATAATCACGTGATCAACTAATAATAAGCGTTGCAATAATTATCAGCTTCATAATTTCAAACTAAACATCATCTCAGCTGGCAATGAGTGCAAAAATATGCCTTAAGCAGATGTTACTAGATATTGAAGGAAATCCTATTCTATTCATCCGTTAATTGCTTAAGATTTAGTATCCACGCCTCCTTATGTCACATCTTACGATGATACGTCATCTATGTACATCTTTAACAAGTACGTCCTTCTTGTAATTAATAATTAGCGCTTTCGTGTCGATAAATACTTCCTAAGAATTTCCTATAAAATCGACGAAGAGTTTTAAATTTATATGTAAATGAGAAATCCAATGACAAAGATTTTATTGTTTAATTATTATCGTGCATATCGTTAAAACAGAAGTTTCATCTCAAGATGAGCATTGCGCGAAAGAAAGTAACTCCGTAGAAAAATTTAAAACAATATTTTTATAAAAAAAAAAAACGATTTTACGTTGGATATAAAATTTCCACACAATTTTCAGACAGAGTAGTACGGAAAAAATAGAAAAGTACGTTTCGAAAGCTATAAGTGCATCGCGCGTGCAGGTGCATCTCTCGCATTCGACGTTCATCGTCGAAATGTTCACGTTTCGGCGATTGGACCCAAATTTATCGATGTCGATCGCGATCCCTTCTTCAGGATTTCTTGTGCGACATGACAGAAGGAGAGGACGAGAGGCCGCAAACATAAGTGTAGCGTGGAGGTGGTGTCAGGCCCCTCCTTCTAATAAAAGCCGCTCACTAAGCGTCGCTACACAGACAGTAACAGAAAACCCCGAGGAGAGAGCAGGAGCCGCCGAGAGCTCCTTCAGGACCCTACGAGATTTTTTTCCCCAAAAAAATCCAATTTGCACAATTTTCACGACGACTAACCGTGTGACGGATAGAATCTGTGCGTGGTGAGTTCAACATATTTCGCGTCTTTAAATTCGATTGGTATTTCTTTCCGTATCACCGTGTCTTTTAGTGTCTCGTGGAAAATCTGCGGCGACCACGTGGCAAAGATGTGGTGACAAGTGGGAAATTTTTGAGTTTCGCGTGTTGAGTGTAGACGAAGGAAATTCTGGACCTTTCGATCGCTCAGCAGCGTTAAGTATATTCGATGTAAAAAGAAATATTATTAATAATACAAAATTTAAAAATTGCAATTTTTTTGTTGTTGATTGACCGGAATTGATAAAGAATATTTCAGCATGAAAAAGCATGTTCAATATTTAAGAATACTATTATATTGAAACAACTATAATTGTGTTTTTCCGGAGAAATCTCTTTCCATCTGGACGCGCAATCTCGTTAGTAATCAGTCATTCCATAGAAACTCTGAGTTTTTTTATGTATATATATTTTGCAATATTCAGATTGTTTAAATATATTTTTTTAAGATTTAAGTGACAAATTAAATTTAAAAAGATAATATGTACAAGATCAAATATGATACAAAGTTAAATAAAGAAGGAAGAGAGATCGATTTTTTCGACAGGAAGTTGGTGAAATCTGCATAATATGATTCTTACGAAAAGAGTAAATTCCGAGTAAAACTTGCGCAACTATTATGTAAATTTTTTTGTCTATAACATAAGAAAATTTAATGTTTTCCTTCGAACAAAAAATTTTACGAAAAAGTTATTTTTACTTATTATTAGTTTGAATTGCGAATTAATTTATTCTATTTTTATCGCACATATGTCATGTCAGAGAATAAGATTTTTTTCCTCAATCAATTTAATTGCTGTAATTTTCATGTAATTTGTCTACATTATATCACAACACGTGAATATTTTTTTCAAACATCGTAATATATATTTTAACATTTTTAAGATATTTATTCTTAAAAAAACGTTATTTAAAAAATTATTGTTTAATTTATTTTATTTAATTACAAAGTCTTTTGCTCAATAAGAATAGCACAAACAGTGCAAAAAATAATTAAATAAATTAGCATATTCGAAAATAAAGTATTTTAATATCGTCACCGAGAATAGAAGTGGTTCTTTCTTTTCCTTTTTTACTGAATCTACATCGTTTCAATGCCACATATGTATCCTCGATTTATCTACGATTCATTCTCAACGTGCCAAATGCATATATAGTTATTTGCACTCGGCATACATTGGTGGACTTCAGAAATGCACGTACATTGACAGCATTCTTCAACGAAAGCAAACATCTCGTAATTTGACAAACACACACTCTCTTAAACATTTAGTCTAATAAAACGTAAAATAACACTTTATTTTTATGTCAGACTATAAGCAATAATTAAAAAATGATTAAATATATTTTTTCTTTTTTAAACAAATTATATGTATATTCATAATTAACTATTCATCATAATTCTAATTAGCGTTCTTTAAAACTTAGCGTACAAATGAGCTATGATTTTTTATTAAGCCTATTTTATGAACGAGCAAAGTTTCACGCTTCAAAAAAGAAAAATATCGAATCGATATAAATATAATTCTAATACGGACGTGAGATGCCGAGAGCATTTTATTAAAATCGCGATTAATTACGAAGCGTGCGTTTCCTCTCGTGTCTGGCAGACGCCAACAGCATTCTCCACTTTCATTCCGTCGAAAGTGATAGTCGAACGGATCCATGCTCGAGAAGGAGAGTCATTGCTCCTCTCTCTCTCCGTTTCTCTCTGCGTACAACTTTTCGTCCGTCTCTCTCTCTCTCTCTCTCTCTCTCTCACGAGATCTTCGCATGAGCAATTTCCGTCTTACCGTATTGCCGGTTTCTGGACTACATGCTCGCTACATATTCACACCAAATGATTACTTGAGATAATCATAAGAGGATGGCCGAGATTATGGCTCGTGAGAAGTCTCTCTTGCTCTTCTATGTCCGCCCTATATATTTACTTTCGCATTTCGTTGAAAGCGGACAATTTTCGCAAATAATACAGAGACGAACTTCACGAGATAATAATATATGCAACACGAGAGATTGTTTTTCGAGAAGTCGCGAAACAACCGTAAAAATTACAATCCACTTAAAAACATCTGCTAAATCATTATTAGGAGACTTATTCAGGTATAAAAAGAGCTAGCTACAAAGTTATTTTTAAATTCCTCTCTCTTCTCTTTATTTTGTAAATATTTTTCATGTAATTATTTCCATTATTAATTAAGGCCTTTATTATTTTAATTATTAATTAAGCTCTTCACATATAAATACTTTATATAATTATTTTAATTATTAATTAAGCTTTTTTTATATCTAAATTTATATACATATATCAGAGCTTTTTTAAATTTATTATTATTTATATGAGAAATGCGGAAAAATTGATCGTATGAAAGATTTGCGAGAAATCTTCGCAAACGCGTTAATATGCGCACGTTATATTTCGTCGCTATTTGCAATTGTAAATATACATGTAACGTGTGTAATGTATTCTTTTCGCAGAATATCTTATCTATCCGATCAAGATGAGGTATACCATACTGGCACTGACGGTTGCGCTTTGCCTCGCATTAGTGAGCTCGAATCCGCTTCCGGAAAACGGACTTCACTCGGAGGTAAGCACGTGAGAGGCGCTCTTTCGAGGAGCCTTTCTCTTTTTAACATCGCCGTCCATTTGATTATCTGAAGATTAATGCGACGGATTAGCTCCTCCCGCTGCGCTATCGCTTAATCATCACTCGATGCACTCGATTGACGCATGGCACGTGGCACGCAACTAACAAAATTCGAGGCCGAGTTTTCAAGCATAAACGTATCAACCCTTCCGTCAATGAACGAGTATTTCCCAAATAAAAAAATATAAATATAAATAAAATCGAAATTGTCTGCTATAAAAAATTGAAATTGTGTATTATATTGAAAATACAGATATCCTCGTGATATTAATGAAAAGATAAAAAACTGTGCGTTGACCGAGGGGTTAAATATAATTAACGACGAAATAATCGCCATTCATTGCTAATTAGTTAAGTAATACAAACGCTTTGATCAATTCTTGCGTAAAATTATGCAATTATTATTATAATAGCTTCCAGGTTGTCACTAGATTGTCGTGATAACAATTTAGTGATCTAGTGACATTAATTGATTTATCATTAATCTTAGCTTTGCTGATCTTATCTTTATTCCTTCACATCAGTTGAGAAAAGAAAAATTTATTATCTAGGAAATCTCTCTGTCTCACATATAATTTCTCGATATAGACAGAAATTGTTATTTTATTTAAAACTAATTAGTGGAATAATTATTAATTATTAAGATGAAATAAACGATAAATATAAAACGATTCCTTTTCGATTTCTCGCGAAAGTTTAGCTACGTTCTGATCTATTAAATCTTTTGATCGTTTCTACCGAATCATTGATTCCGATAAATAGAGATAATGTTTTATTTTCAACGAGTTTCTCACCCGATTAATAGCTATGATAAAACTTTAGAGCGAATAAAATAATGGAAATCAGATGCAATTAAAATTTTATTGCAGCATCGTGATTTATAAAATCGGACATATAAAATTCCATATCTATTTTCATTTATTTTTATTAAGATGTCACCCGGAAATTGGCAATTATTTTTTTATTATTCTCGTATCTGTAAATGTATATTCTGTCACGAAAATGTTATTAATACAAGCAAATTTCAATGCCAAAGCATTATCTTATACAAATTTCAATAGCTCATGGGGCGATTAAAATAAATCAAATATATCATAGTTCTATGAGCTATTATAAAATAAATTATAAAACGCGCGCGCATCACACAAAACATAAAAAATATATTTCTGAATATTTTACTTTTATATAATAGTAATAATAATATTTCGAATAATAATTTGAAGCATAAAAAACTTTCGTATGTTCTAGTGTCGAAGCATTCTCTTACACCAATTTTCCTAACTTACGAAAAGCTCTATTAATGTTTGTCTAAGAGAGTGTGCTCCAATTTTACATTAGAACATATTGTGTAAAGAAAACTTCTCTATTTCAAAATATCGTTCGTTATAATTCATCGAAAGTTATTACGTTATGTTATTACGTGATCGCAGAAATTATATAGACGTTGCCTCTTAAAGCTTCTTGTTTTTCACAATCGCTATTTCGAACTTATGTAGTACATCCCTGGCAATTTTTTTTATAATTGCCATAGTTTTTTACATAACATTTGAGGCCGTGTAACATAATGCACGTGTGCGGCGAAAGAGTGGTTCATCAGCTGGAGAAGGTTACATGATACGAAGAAAGTTCGAAGAGAGTGATTCGTATACGAGAAACACGAAAATTTCGCGCATAGTATCGGAATATTATCAACGTCGTGTCTCGTGAGGAATTTAATGTTTTGATTATGCGGCTATAAAATAATAGCCATAAATCTCGAAGGTTTTCTCTATGCATATACACATGTTCCGATGTCGGGACATTATTTCATGTTAATTTTATCGGCTCTCCGTGAGCACAATAATATTCTCGTGACAAGTATAAAACATTTATAAAATGATAAAAAAAAAATTTCGAATTTATCATATTGATAAGTAAATGGTACATTAATATTTTTATAGAATATATATTCTTTATTAATACATTTATTATACATTGTACAAGGAATAATCATAGCGATAAGTAAATAGACGCTCCGCGCATTCGCGGTTCCGCGGGTAAACCGCAGGAACGAATATGCACTGCCGTAAACGATATAAACCTCAAAGTATATGGTCTGACGAAAAAGCCGGGTCGTCCAGCTCTCGTCCTCCGACACTTTCACTGGCCGCGAAGTATAACCGGACACTTTCTTCGGTCGATAGGTGCCCGATGGAAAGTTGGTGCGTACGCGTATAAGCGCATGCAACACATCGCATTACGATACTCAAGACACTGACTGTCCATTTGATCTGTATTTTGTACACGATCGGAGAAATTTCGTGGATAATATTAAGAATAGAGATTATTCAGTAGCTGCAGACACGAGTAGTCAGACGAGAGAGCGGTGGAACAAGTAAATGATCTAAAGCTTCAAAAGAATCAGTTTGAAATTTAGAAGAATTTAATATCTTTTATTAAAGATTATATGTATATGAAATATATCATTTTTATACATATTTTATATATATAATATGGATGGCATTTCAATATTACATGGAAAAATGGAAAAATCATAATTAAGTGTTGTAGAAAAAAATAAGCTGTAATAAATTAAATTATAAAATTAATTAATTAATTAGATAGATAGATAGAAAAAGACATATTATATATTAAGAATAAAAAATATTCAGTAGATGTAGACACAAGTAGTCAAAATTAAATTATGAAATTAATTAATTAATTATTATATGTATATAATAGAAAAGATATATTATATTATATTAGGATATTTTATAAAGAAACAAGTGTCATAAAAGATTACACAATTCAATTTTTTGGCCTTTCTTTAGACTCTCTCTCTTTTTAAACTTTTAAATATTCAAAGATAAAAATACAAGCAAAATTTCTCACTACGATTACACAAATGTGTAAACAATCTTTTAGAGAAAATAAATTATAATATTCGAGTTGAGTAATATTTGAGTCAATGTTGTCATCTATTGACCTCATATTCTATTAGAGAAACTAATGCAAAATGGAATGCATATATCAAAACAGAAGTGAATTACCTTGTATAAACAAGTTGTCCTTCGATAAAATAGATACAGCCGAAATGACGACCTATAATTAATTTAAATCGTTACATCGCCAAGTTTTTGCTAATATATTCACACTCGAATCTTTATTTTTACGAGAGAATGTATAATCAGTCACGAAATATTATTTCTTGCTTGAGATAAACAGTTTGAGTTAATTGATATTAAATGACGATCTTTATTAATAATCTTTCTAATCTGGAATGCAAATTTTATCCTCGGTACATAAATCCGAGAATATAGTAAAGAATCAGTTATTATTATACGGGTAGTAAATAGTCAAGTAATCGACAAGTCCGTTCAACGGCGCTAAGTTAATGATCCCTGCTTTTGCTAGCATCTAACACAGAGATTGTTATGCAACACAATTACCTTAACATTTTCAAAGGCACCAAACTCCACGGTCTTTACCGTTCAGTTCCAACATGAATGGGAGAATTATGCACTACGGTACACTTCCTTGTTTACCGCTACTTCGTGGCAGATACGCTTCGCGTATTCTTTAACGCCACTTCGGCAACGACACGGTCACAATGCATGGTTAATTTTAACAAACGGTAACTGATAGGGTTCTCCTGCTCGTACATTTTATTATGATCGTAAATCAAATGTTGTCCGGCACACTTTGCGATATACTTTAATACTATATCTAAATCTCTCACTTCTTACACACTTGAAAGTCCTTCCGCAAGAGAGAGGAATAGGCACGCATACAATAGATATGCAAAAATACAAAATATTGGTTTATTAAATTTAATAAATTACAATTATATATATATATATATTTCTTATAATTATTAATAATAATTTTTACATTTTTGAATATTTTAAATTATTACTAATAATTAATTATTAATAATTAAAAATTATTATTTTGAATGATTAATAATTAATGATAATTAAAAATATTGAGAAATATAAAAGTCGAACATTTAGACAATGCTTGATATCCTACGATCACCGGGAGCTGAAAAACACGGCCGTTGTCCAGTAAAAAATTAGAAATCGTACGGTAGGGCAAATAGGAAACTTTCTTTCAGACCCTCGATCGGCTAGTGATGGCCGAAACTGACAACGAGGCGGCCCTGAGGAGCAAACGGACGATCGGAATTCTGCGAACGCTCTTTCCAGATATCTCTCAGGTGAGCTAGTCGTGATACGTGAATTATTAGAGAAATCCTGCAGAAGGCCAGGATACTAGATTGAAACGCTCTTGACGCGGCGTTTTATCATAGGTGAAGATGCACATAAATTATCATCGTAGATTACTTCGCTAAACAAACACACGCACACATAATCAAGGAGCATTATGACGCCCTTGAGCGATATGTCGGACTCTGATCCGCAATTAATTCGATTTTTTCGTACCTCGCCTATACAGGGGACCTTGCTCCGTCAAACCTTTGCTGATCCCGTGATGTCGTGAGGCGCGTCTTCGTCGAACGCATCTCAATTTTAACTGCACATTCTTACTGAGAAAGTAACGCAAGTCGATTTGCAAGCCAGTCGACACCTATCTAGCCAGAGTCTGGTCCCTTTATTTACGCTCGCGTTATATACAGAGATCGATTTGTTCCGATCTCCATTCGTCTTGATTGTTCCGCTTATTCCGGAAACGGAAGTCAATTCGCATCTCTGCGTCGATTTCTACTATAAAGAGAAATTTTATCCGCGAACGTGTGTTTCTCGAATTATTTTTTCCCCTTTTCTTTCCTCGGACACATCTTATATACTTGACCTCATGCCCGTTATATCGAGAGAATCTTCATTGTTTTCGTTAGAAGAAGCTTCATAGGTCGAACAACAAATTACGTAATACGAGGAGGCGATCGTTTGTAGACAAGAAAAGAGACTCTATCAGAAGAACACCGAAACACACTCTTGGGAAAGTTTCCTCGTATATATTATTACGTGCGAAGCTTTCTTTCTGGCCAATTGAATTGTCCAGGAATAACTTCCTAATTTGACTAATAATGCGCTGTGTGATTTTTTTCGTCTCGTTAGCAAGCGATTTTCCTTGGTCGGCCTCTATATTGCATGCGATTGCATGTCATGCGACAATGGCGATTGATTTGGCAACGAATCTCGCAGAACAGTTAGTTATCCCACAAAGTTCGCGATCCTCGTCGATCCATTCCTGGAGAGAGGAATGTCGAAATTTCCGACTTCGGTCTTCAAGATTAAACGAGCGCATGATAGTCGTCGACGTAACACGTAAACAATGTGTGTGAATCGTGTTCGATTTTGTCTATTTCACGAGACATCGAATGTCAAACTGGCATAACTATAATTTTTCATCACTCGTAAACGCCTTTAAAAAAAAAGCCCGACTATAAGAGACGCAGTACTACTCAGTGTTGGGCGATTGATGAAATTTAATTGATTAAATTTAACTGACTAAAGTAATCCATTAATCAATCATTGGAGCGAATCGACGTAAGCTCACATCATTCATAGAGAACAAAATAAAGTATATAGGAAATTGATATCGATAGCATCCCTTATTGCTCGTAAGGGACTCGCAAAGATAAAGTAACGTCTCCATGGGAAGAGAGTCACCACGCTAAGAGAGAGACTCTCCAGCTAAGGCCTGTTGTTTTCTAGAGAATCGAAGCAATCGTCAACACACTTGTCGCAGAAGTGATTCGCGTTCTCGGTCCCACCCTCCTTCGAGGTGTTCTTGGAGGAGCAGGAGGAGGAGGAGGTAATAGTCCAGGGGTCCAGAGGACTAACTCAGGCACAGTCGTAATGGGCACTTCGCCCTTCGACGACGAGGATGAGGATGAGGCCGATAGCAATGCAAATACATCTTCCAGAATATCAATCTCCCTTCCGACATTTCCGGATGACGATGATGCAGCGGAACAGAAGGAAGAGCTCCGCAGCTCCTCTTCATCCTCAGTAACAGAGAGCGGAGGAGGCAACATTGATGCCATAACAACAACAACCACAACAACACAACAACAATCGCATCACTGATAGAGAACGAAGTCACCGCTTCGCTGTGACGTCGTACGCTTGGCAGCTCGGTAAAAGCTTCGAGATCGCGACCTTGAGGAATCTTCACAAGCTGCAGAATCTCACCGCGCATTCAGGACTGCTGCGGCGCGCTGTTCCACGTTGTTTTGTGTGTTAATTACTCACTCAGGGGTGCTCGAGGAGAACGAGGATCGAATAGATCGAGGGACGTTCGATCGAACCATATTCGGATCTCGGGATCTAATGGTCCGTAAAAATGACCGCTAAATCACCGCGCAACCAGGACTGCCGCGGTTCTCCGTACGCTGCTAACTCTTTCTCTCTCTCTTTCTGTCCTCTCGTGTGTTCCTCCGGCAATTAATCTGGTTAATTAATAATGTTGTTGCTATTTTGTCGCCACGAGATCCGTTATTGCGATCTCTCTTCTGGTTCCGCCGGAAGTTACATTGGACAAAAATTTCATTCTTTTTTTCTTCCTCACTTCTCGAATATATATTTCAATTCATCTTTCTGTGATCCTTTTTGTTTCTCTGTTCAATTCGAATTTCATGATACTCGCAGATCACTCGATCATTCAGAAATATACTTTTCTTCTTACCCAATTCTTGCTTCTTCGTCATTTAACTCTGATATAAATTAAATAAAAAAACAAAACGGATTTTATATTTTTCATGTCCTTTCTCTCTTATGATGTCATTTCAATTGCAGAGAGGTTTCGATTTTTCGAAGCTCATCTCGATACGTCTTGTTCATCAAACAATAGCTCGAATTACCTCAGTCTTTTCAGGGCTGTGTCATCTTCATATTTTTAATATTCTAAGCATTTCTATGTTTATTATTTTTCGCAGGATGTAGCGAATCAATTTTACCATCTAAAAATAAGTAAAAATAAGAGTTTCTTATTAAACATTTATTATGCAATATCTATAGAATTTAATTGCAAACATGAAACTTGCGAAATATTTGTAAGCATTGAATAATCAATAATCGATATTCAGCTTTGTCCTTTTTTGTTCCTTTTCTTTCTAATAAACCATCTTGGCTATTGTGTGAATTTGTTTAAAATATGTGTATGATTTAACATATTTATATTGGTAAAGTTTGTGATTAATAAGTTGTGATTAATTCTTTTTGTTGCTTGATATGAGTGTGCATGTTATAAATTCAACATTTGTGTTATTTGTTTATACATATAATCTGCATGTTATTAATTTTTATATTTTTAAAATCAAAGAATTTACATAGCAATCACGGTTTGTACAACATATTTTAAAGTATGAATAGATGTATTAATTTTGTATACTCTTCTTTTTTTATGCAATGCATATAAAAAAGCCTCGATTAAAGAAATTTTCGCAATTATATTATTTATATTATATATATAGTTATGAATAATTTATAATAAAATGTAATGCTATGAAACGTTACAATCACACTCTTTTATCATACTTTTTGTCATACGACCAAGTAATGAACAATCTTTCATTGATTAATATTTCGAGTCGTTAAAAAATTATTTACTATATGTATATTTATTATATAATTATATATATTATATTAATTATATAATTATATATATATATATATAAATTTATTTATTTATTATCTATTAATATATTTCATAAGCAACATACGTCGTTTATAAAATATAAAATAAGATAAATAAGTAAATAAAAACGCACATCTGGAAAACGAATCAACGAGGTGTTGGGGTCCTGCTTCTGATCGTTTGATTCTTGTGACTCAGAGAAAACGTTTTTACAGGACGCGAACCCGGAATCGGAGAATCGAGTGAACGAGGAGACGGCGGAATCGCAGAATAACTCAGTGCAAGTGCATTTCGCGGACGAAACACCAAACGACAAGGAAGAGCTCGCGCCATTGAATGACAACGAGACGGAAAACAATGACGAAGAGAGGGACAAAAGACAAGGGGCAAACACTGGAACAGGATCACCGGGCAATTTCATTTTTGATATTATTAGGGTAAGTCGCGTTATCGAGTTTGTATCAAACGAGCATCTCGTTTATTAATAACGTCATGTGTGAAAAATGGAGAACGCGGGTTCTCTTTCTCTCGTCTTTTCCGGCGATCGAAAAAATCGTACTTACACATTTATCTAGATAATAAAAGGAAGAGATAATTAAGAAAAGGTAGGAATAAATGAAGACTCGTCGGTAGTGATAATATATATATATATATATATATATATATATATATATATAATATAAATATAAAAAAATAATATATATAATGATAATTATATCGTTGATGTAACACGTGGTACACACCGCGACAAATGTCACATACTTGATATTCCAGTGACTGGCGACTTGCAAGGGCGTCTAACTGCAAACGTTAGTGAAAGTGAGCAACCGAATTGCCTTTAGCTTCGTCGTGTGACCTAGGCACAACCGGGTCGACTCGCAATAGAATTACTTTAGAATTCTCATCGACCAACCTGACGTCGATGACCTTGCTTGACATGCTTGCTCCTCGTGGATTCGCGACGATGTAAACGCGATGAAAATACCGTAACGTGATAAATTGGAAATTAACGATAAAAAGAAAAGCAGAGACCGTAACAATTGCTTCATCGTCATTGCAAATGCATAGCGATCAATTTTCTAATCAATTTTTAGTCACAACTCTGTTACGGTAGATTGAGAAAAATATTTGTTCCAGATTTTAATGTGTAGCTTGGTTCTCTTTTTTCTATTATTTCACTTAATTAAGAAATAATCGAAAAATATCATATTAGATATTTAATAATTATTGTATGTGTCATTACTAATAACGAAGCTATATACATATCCTCAACATTGTTTAAGAATTAAAATGTGTGATTGCATAGCCGTTTAAACTATCAAAAAAAATTAAATAAATGCATGCATGTTATATACATTTTTTCAAGATAGATCGAAACTATATTGACAATAAACATTAACAATAACGGATACAGTAACAATAATAACACGCCGACGATATTCAAAGGCCGATTTTTCATTCACAAAGTATTTCTCTCGGCGGAACGGGTTTTTTCATCGGTGTGACAGAAGCAATCACGCGAAAATCGAGTTACCGTCTCCAACAACCGTTCGCCACCGTTATTCGCTTTCCTGGCAAGAAAAGAAAAAAAGAAAAAACAAACGACGCGACTCGAGGCGATTCCGGAGACCGGTCGATCGCGACACGACCCTTCACCGATTGAGAAAACGAGGGAAAAAAATTCGTCTACGTAACCGACGTACTCTATTGGTTTTTATCGTGCAGATATTCACCTGCGTTGATAAATAACTCTCGAAATTATGCCAGAAGCGAACTGCATTCTTATTGCGTTACGAAAACAAGTGGCGTTCTGTCCAATTTCACGTGGAATTTCAATACTGCATCAGCGAACGATAATTTAAATAATTTTATAAAACAAATTATAATATAATATTTATGGGATTTTAATATTGCATCAGCGAACGATAATTTAAATAATTATATAAAATAAAATATAATATAATATTTATAGTATGAAATAGAGAAACTTGATATATGATTGAGATAAAATAAAATCAGAAATAACATCGACCGAAAGATAACTTTCGAATCAGACTTTCTAAACATATATTTGGTAGTCAAATTTTTAACGACGTGGCCGTTATAAAAAATCTCGTTTTGAATCATCCATAGTACACGTTCATCGCAAATATGGATACCACGATGGAACGTACAATTCTCCATTTTTCACGACGAACTCATACCTGAAATGTCAGACGATCGAGCGCGATCTCCTCCAGTCGAGGTCCCCCCCCATCCATGTATTACATCACAATCCCGGAGAGCTCTTAACGAACCACTTTCCAGCCACATTGCAGGAGTTCCAGGACGCACGCCGACCGCGAAGGGAGCGCCCGACAGCGATATTATTCGCGAAATCGCGGGCAGAGTAGAGCGAAAAAAAAGAAAAGAAAAACGCGCGAGCAAGGGACCAAGTAAACGAAAGTTCTCGTCTCTGTTCTCGTTTAGCAAGCGGCCGACGGGGCGGCAAGAGCGGCGGGCACGGTGTACCGTGTTGTCGCAGGTACACAGAGCCTCGGGCTCGGGCTAAGCGCCTCGCGTAACGTGGGCCCGGCGCCCCAGCAGGCCGCCCCTGCTGCTGCTGCCGCCAACGGTCCCGCTGGCACCCCGACGTCCGGCGCACCCTCGACAGCCGCCCCAGGAGCCGGCAGTCTACCACCGGTACGCCAAATCCGACAACACACACCGCCTAAGTCCGCCGACAGAGATAAAGGCGACTGCGCTTCTTCTTCTTCTTCTTCTTCCTTCTTCTTCTTCTTCGATCGGGCCCGATAAAAAAGAAACGCAACATAACAGCGCACATATCCCGAAGACGCTCGGAGAACATCCTGAGGATATTCGAATGTCCTCTGGATATCCTTAGAATGTCTTTCATATATTCCGAAGACGTTCAGAGAACATCCTAAGAATATTCGAATGTCCTCTGGATATCTTCAGAATGTCTTCTACATTCCGAAGACGTTCGGAGAACATCCTGAGGATGTTCGAATGTCCTCTGGATATCCTCAGAATGTCTTTCATATATTCCGAAGACGTTCGAACATCCTAAGGATATTCGAATGTCCTCTGGATATCCTTTGGATGTCCTCTGGATATCTTCAGAATGTCTTCCACATATTCCGAAAACGTTTGGAGAACATCCTGAGGATGTTCGAGTGTCCTCTGGATATCCTTTGGATGTCCTCTGGATATCTTCAGAATGTCTTCTACATATTCCGAAGATGTTTGGAGAACATCCTGAGGATGTTCGAATGTCCTCTGGATATCCTCAAAATGTCTTTCACATATCCCGAAGACGTTTGGAGAACATCCTGAAGATGTTCGAGTGTCCTCTGGATATCCTTTGGATGTCCTCTGGATATCTTCAGAATGTCTTCTACATCTCCGAAGACGTTTGGAGAACATCCTGAGGATGTTCGAATGTCCTCGGGATATCCTTTGAATATCCTCTGGCTATCCTCAGAATGTCTTTCGGATATGGTGTGTTATTAGGGATACCTTTGGGGGGTGTCTCTCTGATCGGGAGATGCTCTCTTCTCTTTCTTCCCCTTCGATCTGTCGATTTTTTTTATCGGGTCCGCTCTCAGCAACTTTCTTTCTCTATACCTGTATCTCGTTTTATCTGTCGCTGTATACGGGCTGGCCCGAAATTCGAGAATTATCTGTTAATGACAGGTTTCCTGGGATCATTTCGAGATGATTTTTTCTTGGCGGAATTAGTCGAGGGAGATTATTTTTTTTTGTTCCCAATTTTTGTCATTATGTAACTAAGCCTTAAATTAAAATTCTGTTAAAGTAAACTCTACTTGTGTCTATGTATTATATATACTAATAATATTTTATATAGTAATAATAAAAATATATAAATATTGTATAAATACTATACTTGAAATTAATTGAAGAATGTAATTTTTGTTAAATATTTGATTTCTGCAGGGCTTAGTTTGCGAAAAACTCTTTATTTTCAATGACTTATAACTCGAAAATTATTAATGCCTCAACAATTGCGCTGAGAAAAAATCGCCTCCAAATAATCCCAGGAATCTGTCATTAGCAGATGATTCGTGAATTTCGGGACACTCTGTGTATAATATGTTTCTTTATTTTTTTTTCTCACCTTCATCTCTTCATATATCTTGTATTTTATTTATAATACTTTTATAATCGCGTCATCAGCATGTTGTTTCTCGAAATAAAGCATGAAAGAGCTAAAAAAATTTATTTCGATGTTTATAATTACACTTTTGTAGAAAATCAGTTATCATTTTTTTTCAACAATAATGTTTCATTTTTCTATCGATGTATGTATTGTACATGATTTTTGTAATATCGTACGCAATGTCTTGCGCGTTACGTACAAAAGTAGCACAATCGCACCTCTTCACCTAGCTTGCAATCGCATCCTTTCTTAATTGTTCTATTATATTTTCAGTTAATTTTTTTCCTTTCACATAATTCTCTTCTCCGATTGCAAAATATAGTTCACATTGAGTTTTGAATCACAAAGTATCTACGCATGCCCGCACTTTTTCATGCATGTCACGATCATCCTTGACTCTCGCGATTTGAGAGAAAGAGAGCGAGAGAGAGAAAGAGAAAGAAATGTTCTCTTATATATCTTCCGCTTACTTTCCACTGGTGACTTAATCCTTCTTGACGACTTATTCTGAACAAATTATACCGACACTCTTCCTGTCTGGCATTATTTTGTTCTTTTTTTCCTCTCTCACACCGTTTCTCCTTCCTTCGTACAAAGGCTCTACCTGTTTGAGTCTTGCCTGTCTCGCTGCGCATGAATTGCATATCAAGATCTCTAATATCTTATTGTATATGCATATTATATATACATATTGCATATGTATATTATGTATATGTATATATACGCAAATGTGTATATATATATATATACGTCTGAAAATAATACGCGACAGCAATTATTCTAATCTGCCATTTCTATCTATGTGAAAAAGACTCTTACTTATCCGCTACGACTTCTTTCATATTTATGCACTTTATATACGTCTAACGTTGCAAGGAGGTCTTGGCATGTAATTTATATATTACGCATCCTTAACCCATAATTAGGTGTTATTTTTTAGAATTTTTCTATATACATATGTAAAAATGGAATTATAGTACAACTATTTAACTAAAACGAATAATACATTTATATTTTTCTCTAATATTCAGATAATTAAAAATTATTGAGAGTCCACATTTTTCAAAAATTGTAAATACCTGTGTAAAGAAACGTTGATTCATTTTAAATTGATATTTCTTGTCTTTTGACATTTTAGTCTCATTATAAAAAATAATTTGCACTTGAATGAAAATTCAAAGATATAGCAAAAATTCCCTTAAATTTTTAATCACTTAATTATATTTTCAATTTTGTTTTTTTGGACTCTGGAAAATTTAGCAGGGAAATTTTGTCCAAATCATGTTCCAAAAATCCCATCTTGTTCCACCCAGCCAACGGTCCCGACGCAACGCTGACAACCACCGACTTAAAGACTCTTTTTTTTATATGGCGTTTTATATGGCTGCTCGGCTGATGGACAGGCCGATTCTCTCGAGATCCGGCGAATCGCCATTGATCGATGCCGATTCTCTCGTCGTTGTAATCTTCGTACTCGTCCATTGCACCGTATATTTAGCGGTTCGTAGCTGTATCTTATTTTATTTCGTATATTTTGAACGCACGCCGGAGTATATTATGTATTATAAACGCACGCAGATTTAATCGGCAGACGAATCGGTTACAAGAAATAAAATAAAAATAATAATAAGATTTGTATGTACGTAAAGTGATCAAATTTTTGTGAAATGTAAAGAGACTCTTTATTTCGACAAAACTGGTACCGGTTTGTCTGCCAATCAGCGATTTTGTATCTCGTAGCATTTGGAAATTTGATAATAATTAGTTGATGATCGACGTATAAACTCTTGAAAAACGCGCTTATGACTAGAGCGTATCATCGAGTCCGTTATGGTGTATGGTTTAATCTGTTGTCGCCATTTTATCACCTAGGCGATTTCACCTTTTTATGGTGCACAACGCAGGGTGTCCATATAAAGATCCTTAATTGATCCTTAATTAATCGCAAGACCGCTCTGTATCTGCGACTCGAGAATCAATCTTCTATAATTCTCTCAAGCTGGAGGATTAGAGAAGGAAAAAAAGAATACCCTATATGGACACCCTGTAGACAAGTCTCGAATATTACGAGCCGAAGGAGCGCACGTAAGGATCGTAGCAGCGAGATCGATGGATCGTAGCCACAAGTAGGACGTGAGAGAGCACCGTAGTGTCGGGAGCGCTGGAGTTGGACGTGGAGCTGCCAAATATACACACCGCAATTTTTCCCCCCCTTATAATAAAACCAAACAGTAATATTAATAATTGTAAATTAATCCCTGTATTACTCACTTTCGCGCCGCCCAGGAATGCATCCCCGGACGTGGGGAGAGTCATCCCAGACAAGGCGGGATCCCTCGCTACCTGACAACCTGATGCCGACGGATTTCTGTCAAATTTTCAGACGGTGGCTAGCAGCGGAAGTAACTCGGGAGGCTCAGGAGGCGCAAATTGGTGGGGCAGTAGCGAAGAGAAGCCTATAATAGGACCGACGCAGGGTATGACGATGGCTATACCCGGTCCTTGGACCAGACTCCTTCTCATCGCTAATCGAGGATGGGCAGATATGATAGCGGATGTAGTACTTGTGAGTAAAAATATCTCTGTACACTTTTACTTCGACCTGGAATCTTTTCTTTTTCGATGCGAATTCGAAATCAAATCTAGACGCTAGAAGGTCAATCTTACCTCTAGTCTAAAGACTAGATTTTGCTTCATATTAATTTACGTTATTTTTTTCAAGGATTTAATCTAATGTTTTTTGTAAAATCTCACCGTGTGAAAAAAAAAATATATTTTTCAACGAAAATCTCATATAATGGAGAGACTTTAAAAATTTCACAATTATTTTAGTGTGCTCTAGTTTAAAGATTAGATTTTGCTTCATATTAATTTACGTTATTTTTTTCAAGGATTTAATCTAATGTTTTTTGTAAAATCTCACCGTGTGAAAAAAAAAAATATATTTTTCAACGAAAATCTCATATAATGGAGAGACTTTAAAAATTTCACAATTATTTTAGTGTGCTCTAGTTTAAAGATTAGATTTTGCTTCATATTAATTTATGTTATTTTTTTCAAGGATTTAATCTAATGTTTTCTGTAAAATCTCACCGTGTGAAAAAAGAATATATTATATTTTTTAACGAAAATCTCATATAATGGAGAGACTTTAAAAATTTCACATTTATTTTAGTGTGCTCTAGTCTAAAGATTAGATTTTGCTTCATATTAATTTACGTAATTTTTTCAAGGATTTAATCAAATATTTTCTATAAAATTTCACCGTGTGAAAAGACAAATATATTACATTTTTCAAGGAAAATCTCATATAACGGAGAGACTAAAAATTTTACAATTATTCTAGTTTGTTCTAGTCTAAAAACTAGATTTTGCTTCATATTAATTTACGTTATTTTTCTCAAAGATTTAATCAAATATTTTCTGCAAATTTAAAATCTCACCGTGTGACAAGAAAATAAATAAACTATATTTTTCAACGAAAATCTCATATAATGGAGAGACTTTAAAAATTTCACAATCATGCTTTTTCTTGAGAAGAATGTATCGTGCAACCAATTCTTACACGTAATATGAAGTAATTGGTGACTGATAATCGTACCTGTTGCACAGGTCAGAGCTAGTGTTGACATTGTTATCATATAAGCACATAATGATTGGTTTTGAAAGAAAATGTCCAAATTATTTCACTTATATGTAACAAGTAGACGACGGTATTATTTACTCCGGGCGCCGATTATAGATCCCGAGATTGTAATGACGTAGTTCATTCGAAAGTAAGCCGCGACTGTGACGAAATATTGAACCACAACATCGAGGCGCGATTGATTAATAGATGTCGAACTGATGGACATGTAATCACGTTAGACAATTGTAAATAGATAGCGCATGCATTATAAGAGATTCAATTAAAATGATTAATTTGAAAAGTGTTAGATTTCAATTCCGGAAACATACGCGGATAATTGCACCTTCTGTATGACCTGTATCAATTATTATTTCATTAATTATTATTTGCATTTTATTATCCGATAGGGAAAGAGAGAGAAGAGAAATTGCGAGTTATTTCGACATTCGTTAAAACCAGAAAAGATATCCTTCTAATTAGACGACATTTATGATCTATCAGACGGAACTTGTGTGTGAAATTTTTTTCAGAGCTATAAATTTAATAAGGAGTTCAATTAAAAACAAGTTTAAGCAAAAAAAACATGAAAAATTAATATCGCACAGATATTCGTGTAATTGTGATAGCGATTCCACTATAAAGGCCAATTCAATTCTGTCGTCGCAAATGACTGCATTTGTCGACACGCAATAATTGTTACTCGCAATTCTTTTCTTTAACGGATTGATAAGTGAAATTAAATCGTAGGTTTCTTATATAAAATTACAAAATTAATCAAAGAAACGCAGAACGCAAAACAAAATAATAAGAAATATATAAAATTGCATCCGTCTTTTAATAAAAGAAAATTATTTTGACGAAACAATATAATCAAGTTATCATTAACATAATCATGAATAAATAAATTATCATTACTATAAAAATAACATATAAGAATATTGATAAATTGTGCTAAAAAATTAATTTTAAATTAATAAAAAAATCATATATAAAATATATACAAAAGATGATTTTTATGATATTCGACACATGATAGATAAATAAGAAATACGTACATAATATTATATTTTGCCTTAATAAAAAATATATATTTTTTTTATAAAACAATATAATCACGTTATCATTAATAAGATAATTATAATTAGAAATGAAAGCGCAAACCGCGCTGAAAAATAAATTATAAATTAAAAAAAAATAAGAGCTAAATTGCATGATAGAATTTTATAAAATATCCCTAAAATTAACTCTGACATTAAAAAGATTTGTATTTATTACTATGTTATAATATTCGCAGTGCCTAGCAGACCAGACTTATGGCACAATACTGTATAATGAGGTTGCGTGACGTGCATAAAGATCAATTCGTGCTGAATCAATTGCTGACTTAAAATTTCTTCCAAAGGAGATCGACAAATTAAAGTTCAATGGAATGTCTATTTCATATTTTTGCCAAAATTCGAGCAAGCGTGGCACTACGCGCGACGCGTTCTTTCAGATGCAAATCCGGCGATTACGCAGGCACGCCGGAATCGATGGAAAGCAAAAATATAAGCGACTTTCTCTATGAAATAGCGCGTCCATTTACCAGCTGCAACTTATGCAAGAAGCCGCTTCTGGCACGCAAGATTGCCCGAAGGCGACAAACTGGCCGATGGCTATACCTGCGCGAAAATAGTATCCGTAATGTTATGCTATTTTTTTGCAAGAACTATGTGTGTAATTAAAAAAAACTCACGAGTTAACAGCAAAAAAATTTACAAAAAAATAAGTGAATAAACTTCTTTTATTTTTCCTCATTTCGAGTAATAATTTTAAGTTTCTCATCTTGCAATTTCAAGGAAGATAAATTAATATGCATTGGAATTATAGATTTGTCCGATTTTAATATTGGAAAGTTTTTTTATACTGTTTAATTGACTTAATGTAAATTGCAAATGAATACTACTAAATAAGTTAATTAAATCAATCTTTCCTGATGGTAAAATAATATTATAGAGGAAGAAGATAAAAAATTGACTGTGAGATGATTATTATATTCGCGGTAACTTTCATATACGTTGCCAAATGGATTACTTTCACTTTGTGACTTAACCATTTTTGAGCTCGTAGAGCATGAAATAAGTGGGCTACAGTCGACTGGACATTATATAGGAGATCATTTCGCACTGTGTCCGAATAAATTTCAATCTTCGGATCCAGTGCGAGATAAATGATCTCTTGCTTAATACAAACGATGTGAGTTCTATAATATAATAAAATGACCTCCCAATCTTTGACCTACATCACACTGCAATCGATGGATTAGAATGCAATCCTCTTACGTAAACCGCTTAGTTAATCCACCATCAATCAATAGTTGATAAAATAATGGCCATAATAATCTTTATTATTAATAGAATTTGAAAGTCGGAACTGAACCGAAGTTTAGATCGTGTGCATAATAATTCTTTCTCGTATCCGTCGTTACAATCAACTATGATTTTTTAACCCAATGATTTTTACGCTCATAATACTCGAAATCGTCATGAAAAGTGATATACTTATTAGACCATCTAGTTGATGTAATCGCGACATTTATCGGTTGCATGTGATATAATGTATGATTTAAATGTTTTTATGAAAAATTAACATCATACATTATTAAAATTTTCAATAAGAAATAAATAATTAATTTTTATATTTATATTTATTTTATATTTATATCAGTGCCTATCGAAAATAATTATATAAATATTGAAGAGAAAATTTAAATACTAATTAATACACTAGACTGGTTTGAATCAAGTTTGTTCTTAGCGAAAGTGAAACTGTTTAACGAAAGAGTGTGCGCAATTAATTCGCGGCAAATTTTAATAATCTGTGCTAAATATCAACAACAGTTAGAGAAAGTTAAAATTTTATTAATCAAACAAACACTTGTTCTTTATATTCATCAATTTAATCAAAGGAATTGGATCGAATGAATAAATATAAATATATCCTCGACTTTTTTTCTCTCTCTAATTGAATAATAATTGAATAATAATTAAACAATTATGTATAAGATACCAAAATATAAAAAAAATCTAATAAATTTTACAAAAATAAAGAAATTGGAATTGTATCGAAATTTATGATAATGCAATACAAGGTGTAAAACGGAAATAACATAATATCAACAAAACCACGTAGTGCTTAAAAGTATATGATCTTACGAAACGAATCTTTGGACAGTGCAAACACCGGTTTTGCGTGTATTACAGTCACAGGCTGCAATCATGGCCTGTATACAATTTGTATTATACTTGCGAGAAATTGTGCAGCGTAATATAAATTAAAACTTTGCGGCGATCGATTGACTATGCAACGGGCAGGAAGTTGTTTAAGTAAAGGCGCGAAGAGAAAGGAAATGGAGATTCTGAAACATACATTTATTTTTTTTTTGTTAATTGCTGTTGAAATTTTTTGCGGCGTTGTGTTGACCCGGGTCGACACCATAATAAGTATTACTTTTATTATGCGCAATTCGCGGCACAATTACTTACTTCACTCGCGCTAACGTGCAAGAATTTTTATCGCTGAGAAGCATCCGTCGCGTTGCTTCGAAAGTGTTCACGCTTCGAAGTCTCCTTGATTCGTCGAATTAAGCGTTTCTACGTGTTTGAGATTTTATACGATAAAATGTAAAAATAGCGGAAGAAACTTTACCTCCTCGAGCGCGGAATGCGTGATATAAAGCACACGCACCCGAATTAATTATTTTTCACTCATTTCAAATCGATTGACTTTCTACAATTTTTATAATATAAAGAAAATATTTCGTATAATATAAAATAATTTATATTAAATAATTTGATATAAAAAAATATGCATAACATAAAAGAAATAATTTATATTAAATAATATAATTTTGAGAAATCAGATTGTGACGAATGAAAAGTATGAGATATTGATTTGTTCGAGAAACCTAAAATAGATAAAATCCTATAAAACCGGAAACAATGCGTCGAGTCGAATATACCGAAGAGTATGCGGATTAAAATAAATGTGTCTTCGAATTTACAGCGCTTAGCTGCAGTAAGCGAGAAGTTTGTCAACTACAAGGCGAAACTTATCACCTGGCTCATCTAAGGAGCTTACTCGAGGATCGGGATGAGGAAGCATAGGACGGGGCCTCGCCGGCCTTGGTATCGCCACGTGGACATCATCGCCGAGCCGCCTCTACCAGAAAGGAACACGGGTACGACGTTGGCAACAGAATCGAAATCTCACCGATGTTGCCCCCTTGTTCCCGAGATCCTGAATTCACTTCCTTCGTCAATGGCCGTCGAGCTCTTTGTGAAAACACACAAGACACTTCGTCACCAAATGTAATTCCTCCCTAAGAACGTGACGTTAACTCGATTTCGTCCGACTTCGTTCACTCGACTCTCTGTACAATTTCTTTTCCACCTTACTCTTTCTCTCTTTCTCTTTCTTTCTTTCCCTTTGTCTCACTCTTCTCTCGCATTTTTTTTCTATTTACTTTCTATTATTCTGTAGTCGATTTATTATTAAAAAAAAACCGTTAATAGAGAAATTTCCGTATTTTCGGTCGTCGTTTTAAGGCGATCGAAAATTTAATTTCGCTATGTGGGGTGGCTTGAAGCTGCCATGGTACGATGGAAACACATCGAGAGAGATGTATATTGAAACTATGAAATCGAATTTGTGATACGACACGCTCGCCGTTGACAGTTCGAATGAAATGATTCATGCATCGACGACTACGGGTAAAATAAATTTCTCCGCGCTTTCTCGCGCTGCTTTTTTTCACGAGCCATCCCCCTTCGGCTTCGAAAAATATCTCGATTCGCGCTTTAAGAGTCATACAGAAATTTTCTTTCCTCCGTAGAAAATGTGTTAACATGATGATGTACAGAGTCTTACGATCTCCTTCGATCGTGACAGGGATAAGACGCGTGCTGTTTGCAAAATCGAAGAATACTAAATATTATATATCGGTCTTCGATTATTAATTGCGCGAACGATTACATTTCGATCGATCGTCGTCGAGCACAAGAATAAACAAGATTATCGCAAACTTGTACATAGCTTACCCCCAGGAGATGGAACAGTGCCAGGCATATAATATATTGTTTCTGTCTATTTTTGTGTCTTTAACACTGCTTTCTTTTGTTATCTCATCTCATATACATATATGTCTATTTTCTCTTCCTTTCTACAATTGCGGTGACGTAAAGCTTGTGAAATTTAGGCAATTAAGTTTGTTAAGTATTGTTAATATTGAAAACAGAATTATCTCTCTCTCCCTTTCTCTCTCGTATTTCAAGTTGATGTAATTTGTAAAAGCCTGTCACTGCAACGAACCGTGGAAATATAAATTACTTTTCCTCTTGGATTTTTCCGCTACAGAAAAATCCAATAAGCAATGTAATTAAAAAAAAAAAAAAACGTAATGTCGTCAGAAAACGCGGCGTTTCTCGTCCTTGAACCGAGCGTATTATTTCTCTATGTAAAACATCCCTGTTGTGTTGTAGTGAAAATAAATATTATTGTAATAAGAAACAAGAGTTGTGTGATTTTTTTACTTTAACTAGACAGATTAGACATGATTTTTAATATATTGACAAGAATGTGTAATTACATATATTTCCATTTCACAACATATTAATATGATTTATTCAAATCTCTTTTTCTACGGTATCAAAATATAATTAGAAAAATATGTGATTCAGATACAAAATCCACAGTTATATATTTACAGTTTATGATATAATTTTTGAAAATTAAAAAATGTGTACTAAATTGTTATGAATATTTGATAAGATTAAACTAAACGTAGCAGAAGCTTGCAAAAGCAGTACTATATGTAATATAGGTATATGAATATACATGAATTATGCTTAAAGCTCACTTTAAAGCCACATACAATATGATGATGCATTTTGAGCGACATTAATCACAAGTATCACAATGCGCGTATCCATAAAATTTTTCAGAAATTCACCATCTCATAATTTCTCAAAACTCAATCATTTTTGTATTACAAAATAAACTTATTTCTATTCTCTGAGATATTATAAATTTTAGGTAAATGATATATTCAAGGAGTAAAAATTAATTTTTTAACAATATAGCAAAATATATATTTTCAAACTTTTAGGCTACATCTTTTAAACTACTATCGCAATTCCATGACACAGAAATTGAAGAGATTTAAATTGCCTGATTTAGGATTATTTAATCCTGCATCGTTGTTCATTTTACATCTCTGTAGTACGAAACTTTCAATTTCGTAAGATATTGATTTTAATAAGACATCAGTAATCATTGTTATAATTTTATGATTCTTATCGTTGAGAGAAACATCTCAATCGTATATTTCTAATTAAGGATGTCTCTTACACACATGAATTGTGCGCATAATACAAATACTTCATTGTTAAATTCCAGACTTCGCTTTTTATAATTTTTCGACCATCAAATCAGTGAGGCTCGTGTTTTAAAATCTCACAGCTCCTGCTCGTATTTTAAAATCTCACAGGAGTCCCAACGATGTAGCTATGATGGCGAAGTTAAAGAGGGTACTGTCTCCTCTTCTACATTCACATAAATCGAATCGCCTAAACGAACCTTCCCATTTGATCCTCGTAGTGCGAGATGAAGTCCCATAGCTGGACTGTCGCCAACTGAGGGTCGAATTTCCGGGTCGGTTATTTGTCTGTAACTGTTGGGAAAAAATTTCTCGTTAACGGAATTACAATATTATCTAAATTTCTCTTGACGTTTCTTGTAAATATATAAATATAGTTTTGTCATTTTGCAATTTTGCGACAGAATTGTCTGTATTGATATATGTATGTAAAGAAATCGTGTATATTATTTTTTTAAAACTTTATATATTAATATACCTTTTTAAAGTCTTCAGAGGTTCGACATTGGGATGTTTCGTTCCAGTTTCTGGATTCACCGTAGTAAAAATGCATCTTGTGCATGGTCTAATATTTCTGAAAATCACATTTCCGATTTTCACCCAATCCCATTTATCCTCCTCGAAAGCAGTTGCACCCTTGACCAGAAAATTCATACGAAATTGCTGCGCCACGGCAGGTTCATCCAATCGGTTATTAAGGTCTGTCAGCGAAGCTTCATTGAGCAGACTGTAACTTGATTCATCTGGGTAAGCTCCCTATTGACGGAATAAACTTTTGCAGTTTTCCAGTGTCGTGCATTATTTAAAACAAAATTATGATTTTTAATGTTTTCGATATTTAATTAATAAACTATATGTACAATTATTACAATATATGTATATTTATATAATTGTATAAATGCTTCTACGCGTTATATGGCAAACTATTTTCTCTTTATTATATAAATGACATAAAAGTGTTTTTCCTTGTCAATTAAGTTGATAGATCTATTATAATAAAATTCTCGCATAATGTGGTTAGTAATAGATGTAAGATACGATGCAGGAAAATCAGTAAGTTGACTCGTAGCGGAAGTATTTAGCACGAAGTTAAAATGTGACTCTTCCGTTAGAAACTTATAAGGAATGATTACGTTGACGGGAAGATCGTTCAGATCTCCAAGAAACAAGAAATAAAATAAATAATTGTTAGAAAATATAATTTTTTTAAATAAAAATTTGAAACTATAAATATAGATAATAATATAAATCGGCCAACAGAGCCAAAGCGCGAAAAATTAATTACTTGGAACTGTATCTCTTGGTTTGAGATCACTAAGTTCCATATATAAATTAATCTCGAACTTACATATGGAGAAATAGACGCGAATATAATCTATAAATATAGATCTATTAACTTAGATACAAAACTTAAATACAAAAAAAATAAATCGAGCTTTCGATAAATAAATTATAATGATTAAATCTCGTACATCTCGTCGTTGCGAAAAATAGTACTTACGGTATCCAACGGCGTCGCTAAAGGAAAGGCCTTTTCATTTCTTTTCTTACATCTCTCGCAGGTCCATCCACTGGATAGTAGACCAATCTAAGACCAGTATCCTCCTGAAGAAGGAAGCGTGACAGCCATCGAGCAACTTCTTCACCACAATCGCGAGCCGGTACCGCTTGACCCCAAACAGCAGTACGGAAGCTTTTACCGCGAAGCTGAGCGAAATCCACTGATATCGACATCATTCCCGGAGCACGAAGCGTTAATACGGAACCGGAAACTTCGGGTAGTACCTTTATAGTAGGCAATAAAGGAATGGCTATGATTAGAATAATTAAATATCGCTATTAGCTTCAATAAAGATAGTAGAGTATATAACAATCAGTAAATATACACATGACACATAAAAGAAATACATAAGTGGTTGAGCTGTTCATTTCTCTTTAGTAATTTATTTTCCGTTTGTGGTAAAATTTAATTATGATATATATAGTAGATAATAGCTAAAATGTATAAATAATAATAGAATAATTAATATAATTTTAATATACTCTTATATTACTATATAAACTCTTTACACTATATTTATATTATGTATACAGGATATTTTAAGAAGAATGAGTTTTAAGAGAAATCAGTTTTCTAGGATATGATTGTATACATCATTTTAAGCAAAAAATGTTTATATAAACATGTGACCTATTCTGGATAGTTATAAAAATACAACGTATTCAGTTTTAAGAATAAATATATTCATTGACTTATTGAAACCAAATTCTATAAAAGAATTACATGACATTTTTTAAGCTTACAATACATTTAAATTAATATTAATTAATAAATAATAATTTCAATTAATTAATAATATTTTTGTCATAAATAATTATGAGCCATTTTAATTACACCAAAAACCAAAAATGTCGAACGAACACAAAATTTATTAAACGTGTCTAATAATAAAGTAAAACTCTTCTCTCGACCGTACTGGCAAATATTATTTATTAAATCACAACGTTTCCACCCTTCTTTGTGTATAATAATCTTCTAATAACAGCAAACAACAAAAATTTAATATAATTGTTTCATTTGGTTCTACTAAGTTAATGTATTAGTTCTTAAATTTGAAGATGTATCTTTATTATTAATGTATTGTATTAGCTTATAATTTCATGTAATTATTTCATAGAATTTGGTTCTAATAAGTTAATGAATGTATTTGTTCTTAAAACTAAATACATTGTATTTTTATAACCATGTAAAATAGAATACATGTTATATATAAACTCTTTTGCTTAAAATGACGTGTTACAATCATGTCCTAAAATGCTTATTATTCCTCCTAAAACACACTATATATAAATATTTTTATTTTCTCATTTTGTTTAATGAGTATAATTACGCGCGTGAAGCGAATTAAATTACGCATTATTCTTTGATAATAAAATCTTAAAAATTGCAATGCAAGCATAAAAATTATTATTGCAATGCATGCTTAAAAATACTATATTGTATATTAATTAATTACGTAATGCATAAAAATTAAATGTTTAAATCTTTAAGAATTTTTAAGAGAGAACAAAAAATAAAATGTTCTACAAAAATTTCTTTCAATCAAAATATTTGCGTCTTCATTAGATATGCGCGTCTGTGCGCGTTCGCTGCACGATGATCACGTGACCGTCAGTCTCGCAATCGCAATGTCTCGAACGAGATTCAGTTCCGCGCGAGGCGCGCAACGTGATGGATGTGGGGAGTGTACTAATCCAATGGAAAGGATAGAAAGAGACAGACTGCACGTCACGCAAGACTCTGAGCAGTAACGGTGTCGCCATCTAACGGCGAAACCCAACTACATAATCCAGAGTGCGAGAACATCTCTCTCTTTCTATTAGACGTGTGCGTCTCACACGACCACCACGTTGCAAGTCTCGCATAAGACTAATCCCTACTCCGACTGCAGACTTTGCGCAGCGGTGTCGCCAACTGACGGAACCTAACTTTACTGCCAAGAATGAATCGGACCCGACGAAAGCATCTCTCTCTTTCTAGCCTTTCCATTAGATTAGTACACCCCCCACGTCCGTCATGCTGCGCGTCTCGCGCGGGACTGATTCCCGTTCGAGATATCGCGACTGCGAGACTGACGATCACGTGATCAGTCCCGCGCGAAGCGCGCAACGTGGCGTACGGAGATGCGTGAATCTAATGGAAGCGTAGATTTTAATCGATTCTTGTAGAAAATTCTATTTTTTTGTTCTCTCTGTTAGATTTAAATATTGAATTTTTATGCATTATATAATTAATTAATATATTTTTATGCATGCGTTGTAATAATAATTTTAAGCATGCGTTGCAATTTTTGAGATCTTATTATTAGAGAATAATATAACTTCGCTTTCTGGGCGTAATTATATATTCAGTTAGATTAAACAAAATGAGAAAATAAAAATATTTATATACAGTGTGTTTCAAGAGGAATGGCCAGCATTCTGGGACATGATTGTAAGGCATCGTTTTAAGCAAGAAAGTTTATATAATATATCCTATTCTACACGGTTATAAAAATATAACGCATTCAATTTTAAGAACAAATATATTCATTAACTTATTAGAACCAAATTCTATGAAATAATTATATGAAATTTTAAGCTTTACAATACATTTGAATGAGTAATATTAATTATAGTAATCAATAATTTCGAGTAATTAATTTGATTCTGCTATAAGTTCATAAATATATTCGTTCTTAAACTTGAATACGTTCTACCTTTATAATCATCGAGAATAGGACACATGTTCATATAAACTTTTGTTGCTTAAAACAATGTGTACAACCAAGTCCTAGAATATGTTGATCATTTCTCTTAAAACGTCCTGTATAAAATTATATTAAATATATAATATATATATATATATATATATATATATATATATATACAGGTAAATATAAATATATTGTTATATAATATAACTTTTATATATTATTATATAATATATAATATATCTTGTAGCTTTTCTTACATTGACCATTTTGGGTAACTGTCTGGCGGTGAGAAATCGCCCTTCAAGATCGAGAACCATCAACGTACGATCTCTTAACCAACCCGATTTTAGACCTAGTATCGTGCATTCCATCTCGTTCATGCGAACAGCGCCAAGTGATTTAATCGGGAACACGACTAGATCGCTCAGTTCTCCTACTTTTCGCCATTTCGATGGTAGCTGAGGCTTCTGTTTTTTGATCCACCACCACCAAATAAAGAAAGCCGCTGTGCCAGCACCTACAGCGGCAGCCGTGACAAATGCAAGTCGTGTTCTGTCTGAAAATGATCATAAAAAGTGACCAAAAAGTATAAGTTATATATTAATATAACTTTTTTCACCATTTGCGATCTTAATCTCGTTGATGGATTCTCTGACAAATTTTTAAAAGCAATTTTTTTATAAATAAAGGTTAATCAAGGCACTATTATATTTTACAAGATTACATAAGAGATTGAAATAGAAATATGATTTTAACAAGTCTACTTCCCTTCTTAACGCCTTTTTATGCTATCAGTTCTAAATTGGCTGAATTGATAATTCAATTATGAAATAGACCATGACGAATCTATGATGTTGTTTATAATATCATACGGGTTTATCTTTCAGGTCACATATGTTCGATGAATGTGATCGAACGTTTAAGTTGCACGGCAACTCATTTCTCGCAACAAAAAAATTAGGTCCACGAGGCGCATAACCGGTTTTATGAATCCCGGAAACGTTTCATAAAATAGTCGTTAAACGAGGTCGGTTTAATCATCTACCGCAACGTAATGTGTATATAATAGTCACAATAGCTGTGTCAGCTACTGCCGACAGAAGAGTCGACAGGCGACAGAAAAGCAATCTCAATTGGAAAATACTTGGAGTAGCTATTTTCAATGTGAATACGCGACAGAGAAAATTGATGCAAGCACTGCGTGTTTGAAAAAATATGACGTATATACTGTTATTTTTTTTAAATGCACAGAGACAGATGTGTAATGCGCATTCATTGTTTTGCACTCTTCCCTTGTCGGTGCATAATGATATGCGTACGTGCGAGACCGGTTAACATATACACGATGCAATTGAACGTAACGAGGCGCAACGAACCTTGCACAGCTCGTGCAGCATTCTTTCCGCGAATTTTTCAATATCAACATTCTATAATATGTACTTTTGGAGTAGAATGCATTTTTATAAATTAATGTTATAAATGCCTTTTTTAGATATAAACGGATATAAAGTTCTAGCCGAGAAAATCGTTAATCTAAATGTTATGTAGCTTGCTAATTAACACTTTGCATGCAAATCACGTGAATCTACTGTTTCTTCGGCCGCACTATATTTTAGATGATATGTATCACCGACATTATAAATGCAATGCAATTTATGCAAGGCAACATAATTGCGATGTAAATTTTATTCGTTGAAAATTACAAATATAAGTTAAATTTTGTGATACAATTTTCAGGAAAATTGATCTATTAAATTTTTTTACGTTTAGAAAATATTTATGAGACATCTCTCTTTTAAATTTTACTATCATCCTTCAGTGTACTAAAATTAAAATTTTTTATCATATTTTATTATTGAAACAAAGCCTATTTGATCAATTAAAACAACATGTTTTTGCAGTGTAATTAAGTTAAAAAACGCCGAGTAATGATAACTAACGCTAAAAATACAAAATTATCGCAACAAGAACATGGTTATAAAAGAGAAACTGATATCTTTATTATTATCACATCTTGCAAGTCACCTATCAATCTTTTAAAAAATACGCAGATTGTATTTAAATCAAGTACTCAGCAGTTTTTTGTCGCAGTAACCTTTCGAGCAAAAGCAAGTCGAAAAAACTCAACAATCGGCAAGAAAAAAGGCTTATCATATTGAATTATCGATTAGCATTTTTACAACGTAATACACATCATCACGACTTTGCAAGTAAAATATATAATACTTTATCATAAGATGAATCTTTACACGTAAATTATCTCTGTGAATAGGAAAACACACACACGCAATTTTTATTTTTGGTTCTCCCCGAAAATATACTTTCGGAAAGGGGAGATCTCATCGTATAGGCTTCTAGGGAGCTACGCACCCTTTGTGAAATCAATACTCCAAGAAACAGACATCATTCGAGCATGGAAGGTACACTGAAAAAAAAATTATTGGATGCGGATAAATATTTATTTCAATACCGCCTAATAAATTATTTATTTGAAACTAATAATATTGATTTGATGTGAAAAATATTTATTTCATATAAGAAAATTCTTTTCAAAATTGGTAAATATTTATTTGTTTCAAATAAATGATTTATTAGGCGGTATTGAAATAAATATTTATCCGAATCCAATAATTTTTTTTTTCAGTGTAGTTGTCCCTAAACAGGATGTCGTGTTGATGTGTATTACTTAATTATTTTGTCAATTTAAAGGGATTGAAGTTGTATAAATATGATAAGAGATATCAAGAATAGATATCTCTTAATTATGTTAAAAATAGATTGTGATAATAAATTGATAAAATTCAAATTTCTCTATATTGATTTAATCAAGAGATAATAAATTATATATTTTTTTATGATAATGCTAAGAGAAAATTGTGCACTCGTCAAACCATTTGTTGCATTCAATAAGATTTAATGACGAAGGGAAGTTACCGATCGTGAGAGGAATAAAATGGAGAGAAAACATAGCAATTGTTCGTAGGAAATGTGCCGTGCGAAATGCTAAATTCCATAGAGTCATTCTACGGATTATAATGCTTTTTCACTCTTACGCCTTTCTGTTCCGGAATGTTACCTTTATATAATAATGCATTGGTTCTTTAGTTTACAATCACGTAAATAAACACATCTGCTTATGTTATATTATATTTAATGGATTAATTATAATTACATTATATTTGTTATCTATACAATTAATTAATGTTATCTATACGCTGCTCTTCAGGATAATATAATATATAAAACAAAATCAAGATAGATATATTATGAAAAAAATAAATATGTTTTCCATTTAATGCATATAATGCATGTGTTTTTCAAGCTTTTAATTAATTGTACTAATTATTGGATCAACATTTACGAATGTTCGTTTACTCTTCTAAATGTTGAGATTTTGCGAATGTTTTTAAATTACATAATTTTTTTCAATCTCCGTCATTTCTTTAAATTCATACACGGTTTCATCATTCATTATATAACAGCGTTATCGTAAGTCATTAAATTTCTTATCGTATACTTTGTATCAGAATTTTCTCTTTTCTTTCTTATTTTATATAATTGTTCTTATTTTATCAAATTTTTAATTTAATAATCTTTATTCTTAATAATTACACATGTTTCACTTATGTTTACATCAAATTAAAAAATCTGAAGCACTAATCACAATATTTCTGTGTGAAACAATAATCCTTTTTGACTCTTTATAGATACCTTTCTCATCTTTACTTCCATCTATCTCTGACTTAATTTCCATAGTTTTTTTTAAACTTTTAATTGTCATTTTATTCCCTTGTAAATTTATCATCTTTCTCCACTTCTTATCAATCTTGTACGTACATTAATCTGTGCTCTCAATATCGTGCTTCAATTTACACTCTTTCCAGAAAATAAATTTTTCAATAAATTGATACAAATAGAGCTATTTTACATCACATCGAAATTTTCCTGAACCGGAGCAAATATTCGTGATACGTTATTGACATTAATAAAGCGTACAGTATATTTACCCATGACCGCGACGTCAAGATCGCGATGATGTCACGACGAGAGAGAAGTCGATCTGTGCAATTTGTGCGGATGGTCTCGCAGAAATATATTGCCTTCAACAAATTCCACAGGATCGTCTCGAAAAACAACCGGACAATCCTCGTTCTCTCGCAGCTATCGCAACACTGACTCGAGATTCACGTGCACACCACAACCATCTCCTTCCTCGTGACTCAGAAAAATACCGTTATCTATTCGTTTTATGCGGTACTATCTGCTTTCAACATTGCAGCGAAACACGAGCGTCGCCATCGCGTCGACATGTGCTAGGCAGAAAGCAATCGACGTGATGTGCAAGAGGTCCGTCCTGAATTGGCACGTAGCTTTCTACGGGCGTGGGTCGGCACATGCGCCGGTCTCTCTGATGACGAGACCGGTCTCTCTTTCGGTAGTTTTTAGGAACCCGCTCGAGAGCAGATGTGTGCCTAATAAAACTATATATATATATAATTACTAACTAATTTAGAGAGAATTTTTCTGCAAAACTTTGAAAATTGTTAAAATAAAAAAGATTATTCCCCCCGCAATTATTTTCTTATAAAGTTATTATAAAATAATTCTTTATAATAAGATATTATGACGTAGTAAACATATAACATTGTAAAAAAATTGTATTGAATTTTGAGATAGATACAATTTTAATAAGAGTCAAAATTAAAATTAAAATTAAAGTTTTCAGGTTTCATTCATAAAAAAGCTGAGAAAGATAAAGTCTTCTAGTCTACAATTTAAATTTTTAACTTTATTTTTATCTGACTCTTTCAATTAGATATAGAATTATACTATCATATTTTAGTTGGTCTTTACTCATTTCGTTTGACACTTAAACTTATATATTATCTGTCTGATAATTAAATACAACTTTTTTACAATGGTTACTACATTTTATGTTTTATTAGAGAATTATTTTATAAAAAAATAATTGCAGGGAAATAATCTTTTTTATTTTAATAATTTTGACAATTTCACAGGAAAACTTTCTGAAACTGCATAATCATATAGATTTATTTTATCAGGCATATTTACTTTTTTAATCAGTCATGCGAACATACAGATGTGCCTGATAAATTTACAAATCTATATAATTACGCAATTTCAAAGAGTTTTCTTACGAAATTATATAGTATTCTATCTTTAAAAGAATCAGAGATAAAAATAAAATATTAAAGATTATTACCTGGCGCAATTATTTTCCTAAAATAATTATCAAATAATTCTTTAAAATATTACATTATGACAAAATTGTAACATTGTAAAAGAATATATTGAATTAAAAAAAGAGCCAAAAAACTGAAAAATTAAAGATTTCAGGTTCCATTCGTAAGGATTTAGAAAGGCAAAGTTTTTAAATTCTCCACAATTTGAATTTTTAATTTTATTTTTATCTGGCTCTTCTAAAACTGTAGAATTAATATTGTCATTCTATTCATCGTCATTTCAGATTTCCCGCGTTACAATGTGCGCAAGATCAAAGAAGGCGGACGCCCAAGCCTTCGTCCTCACTCCCCCACTACAGTGTCACTGATGAACTGTCATTCACGCGCATTTATTGATGATTATTAGAAGAGTGCAACTAGCATAATTTACTGGATTACTGTGGGAAGTGTTTCAATGTTACTGCGTAAATTTCCGAGAAGAAACGACAGATCGATTGGTTAATCATTATCCTCAGATAGATGTAAATCCACGAATATAACCTTGTTTATAGGACGTGTGTAAATAAAAAAAAACTGCACAACAGTTCCTTTGATTATAAATACTTCTCTTTATCGAGGTAAGTCAAGCATTCGATGACGCAGTCTTTTGTTAAACATGTATCTTAGCTGTGCTCTTATTCAATCGAAATCCGAACAATGAATAGAGGTCTTGGAACTTGATTTCTTTCATTAAGAGGTTATAATTGAATGTATATATTTCACCTTATATTTAGAAATCAATTGATTTGTAGACGTCACAACTGTTTTATATTATTAATGATAACTCTAATGAATACTTTGCATATTTATAACCAGATCAATCATTGGTCTGCATACAGTGTGAATGTTGTGAGCTGTTTTTATGTATGATATGATAAGTGAGAATTCCACTGGGAGGATTATCACTTACTATATTGGTCTGCAATAATTAAAAAAAAAAAAAATTAATATCAGTAGCAAATATGTAAAATAAGTTAGTGTCAGTAGAATATTTGCTATTGACATTAAATTTTTTTTAATTATTGTAAACCAATGTAGTAAGTGATAAATCTCTCTCAGTGGGATTCTGATATAAAATATAAATATATAAAACGGAATTTTTTTGTTGCAGCTATCAAAATGCCAATTTTATACAGTGTGGTAGCTCGTGGGACAATTATATTGGCGAAACATGCTGCTTGCGTTGGAAATTTTGAGGAGGTCACAGCAAAAATCTTGGCTAAAATACCACCAGAAAATGACAAACTAACATACTCCCAAGGGCCTTATCTTTTTCACTATATTTGTGAGGATTGTCTTATTTACATGTGCATTACAGATGATGTATGTATTAAGTATATATTGAGACAAACATATATTAACATGAGGCTTAATGAGATTTTATTTCAGGATTTTCAAAGATCCAGAGCATTTTTATATCTCAATGAAATCAAGAGAAGATTCTTGGCTGTTTATGGTCCAGGTGCTCAAACTGCCGTAGCATATGCCATGAATACAGAATTTGGTCGTGTTTTGGCAAATGAAATGGTAATGTCATAAGTAAAAACTGTTTACATCTTGAAAAAATTGTTTTTATATCTGTCTCATTACATGTTCTTTTGTTCTTTTTAGAAACATTATAGTGAATCGAAAGATTTGGATAGATTGTCCAAAGTTCATGGTGAGCTAGATGAGCTTAAAGATATTATGGTGAAAAATATTGACAATATAGCGATGCGCGGTGAACGATTGGAGTTGCTTGTAAACAAAACGGAAAATCTATCTAATAATGTATGTAAAACTATGTTTTAATAATTAAATTTTTAATTAATTTTGTTAATCGTTAAAATTGTAATAAAAATCTATTTTTGTTTTTTTCTATTTCAGTCTGTTACATTCAGAAAGACAAGTAGAAATTTGGCGCGTTCCTTATTCTGGAAAAATGTCAAGATCTATATTATTGTTGGTTCAATTTTGATTGTAAGTTTAAAGTTGCGATCGATTTTGATACTCTTCCAATTCTGTAGCACTTTAACATCATTTATTTTCTTTTTTTGCAGATTGTAATATACGTACTTGTCTCTATAACATGCGGCGGTTTGGCTTGGCAAAAATGTGTGGGAAATTAATACATATATATATGCATGATAAAGTATTTTAATCCAGTAAATAAATGTGAATGGAAGGAAATGCGCAGAAACTTAGTACGAGACTGACAAAGATACTTAAATGCACGAAATTAAACAGGCAAATTTATTGTTATATTTTAGTTCTGTATATTACTTTTGCATAACAGGATACGAATATTGTACTAATACGTATATACATATATATAATGTACAATATTTATCTATAATGCTTATAATCGTTATTTTACAAGAAATATAACAATTACATTTTATGGATAAGGCATATATATATTATAAATTTTGTTTTTTCGTTTACTCCAGAATGCACATGTTTTATTTTAGAAAAAATAAAAACATTTTAGTTAAATATTAATACCTATTTTTTGTTTCATCCTGTTCTGTTGTAAAAATCATGCAAGTTTTATCTGAAAAATCTTGCAAATATTATTCTGTTGTTGTGTATCCTTATGAGATTGACTTTTATTTTAATACATATTTGTGTGGTGTCTATATTAATATAATATTTATGTGCGAGAAGCCTAATAAGCTACCTTGAATTCGTAATATCTATTTGAAGGCGCATGCGCGCAATCTCGATTTAGCAAGGGCTGTACATGTATGAAACATGCCCGGGAATTAAATTCTTATTAATTAAACAATTTTTTTCTAAATCGTCTAAAATACATAATTAAAAAAAAGATATATGTTACACGCTTTCCAAATTTTCAACAGCTTTTGCAGTTTCATAATTTTTACAAGATGAATTTAGGATAATTTAAGAAATAATATTTTTCTTTATCATGTAAATATTTTAAATTCTCAATTATAAAAGTTAATTTTAGTTTTTATCTGTCACAATTATATCTGTCATGTTTTCAATAAATTTAATTTAAAGATTAGAAGAAGATTTAAACGAATTTAATATAAAAAGAATTTAATAAAAAAGAGATTAGATTATATAAATAACGGGGATCTAGATAGAATTCTGTATTCAATTCAAATTCAATAATTAACTAAACAATTTGTTTCCAAACCGTTTCAAATACATACACTTGAAGAAAAAAACATATTTTACTAAACTTTTTCATTTTCCACAGCTTTTATAATTTCGTAATTTATAAGAGATATGAATTAAAAATGATTTAAAAATATAAGGTTTAAGAAAAATAAGTTTTTCTCTATAAAATATATTTTAAATTTTGAGATTTAAAAATAAAATAAAAGTAAATGTCCAAACGTATCTTATTATATCCGTTATCTATCATATCTTCTACATAAATTTAATAAAAAGAAGAGATTTCAGATTATAAAATAGAAATAAAATAATTTCAAATACACTCCTCAAAATAATTAAGGGATCAAAAAAATTGTCCAAAAAATAAGCAAATTTTAAATAGCTGTAACTTTATTTCGAAAAATAATAATTTAAATTTTTACGTAACTTTTTTTCAAAGTTTAAACAAAAGGGAGAAAACTCGCGAATTTCTTCGTTCTTTTCACCTATTTCTAAATAGTTCACGAGTTAAAAAAAATTCAGTCACTATATCATACTATAGAGCAAAGATTCAGCTTTAAGAATCCATTCTTAAAATTGATGTACAATAATTTTTAACAGAGTTATAAACAATTAAAGTGAAAATGACATTTTTTCTTCAATTTACGATAACTTGATAAAGAAAGATCGAAATTTAAATTAAAAAAATGATTTTACAGGGAAAACTTCAGGCCTTAACGTGAAAATGTCAAAAAATTTTTTCAAGTTTTTTTGTGTATGCGACATGTCTACAAAGTAGGATAAAATTTTCTATTTCGTCATGTTTGTCGTTTTCCGTATGTAAAAATTATCAGAATTGAAGAAAATGAAAAAAGCTATAACGTTTTAAAAATAAAGATTTCAAGCTTTAAAATCCTTTTTTAGAATTTAAATTATCATTTTTCAAAACAAAGTTACAGTTATTTAAAATTTGCTTATTTTTTGGACAATTTTTTTAATCACCTAATTATTTTGAGAAGTGTATTTTAGGATATTTTTTCACGAATTCAAGGAATATCTCCTATATATATAGAGCATAATTACATAATGTGTAATATATAATTTAATATAATATAATTATAATTATAATATACAATATATTATATATATAATAATATCAATATTATTTTGATAATCTCAAAATTTCAATTTCCTATATAAAATAGACGAGCTAAATCAATGTATCAATTATTGTGTGTCAATTGTTCAAGAAATATTTTATATTAAATTTATATTAATACAATATACTTTATATCAATATATAAATAATATTCGGTGATCGAAATTTCCATTTCCCATATATAATTGACAGGATATCGACGTCGTATATCAATTCAAGATCTCAGCATCATTTACATCAATATAAATATAATATAAATCGATATATCTCGATAATTGAAATTTGAAAATTTCCCGTATAGAATCGACATCGACGTGAAGTCACAATCCCCGACTACGGGTCCATGCTCTCGCTACGGCGTCGCGCGTCGCAGATGCAACGAACGCCGCTCGGCGCAGCGGCGGCGTCGCGGCGCTGCGACGCCCGGGCCATCGCAGCAGCCCGGCGGCGACCCTCGCAGGATGTCGATGTCTCGCGTGGCGCGCCCTTCGGGAGGTGCCGAAGTGTCTCATCCGTGCTGCCTCGTACACGCGCGCCACGATTGATCGCGCTCCATCCCTGAGAGCTCGATTTTTTCGAAAACCTTCTCTCTTCCTCCCCTCCTTTCCTTACATATACATTCTTTTTCTCCCGCTCGATTCGTTCAACAAGTCTCGCAACCCCTTCTTTCCCGGATTTCCTTAAAAAAAAAAAAAGGGAAAAAAATCGGAAGAGCAATCGAGAAAAGTTGAAACGCGCATTTTTTTTTTTCTCGGATCTCTTCCGGAGATGAAAAAAAAAAAAAATATGTAAGAAATTGGCGCGACTCGTCGTACGCACTCGGAGCAACGAGGGTACGCGTGTGCGTGAAAGAACGCGGTGGTGCGTGTGTTTACAACCTGTGGGTGGCGGTAGCGGCAGCGTTATATAGAGGCACCGATTACGGGATATGGATTCACAGTGGACCCGGGTGGAGGCGGAAGGCGGCAGATGACGGGTCCGCGGCCGAGCCCGGCGAGAGGAGGCGCCGAATGAAAGTGAAAACGGGGGACACTACACTACTACGGGGTGCGTACTACGATGTGAGAGGGAGGATGCGTCGCCCTCGGGAGAACGGCCAAGGGTGCGGGAAGACGAACGCCGGAAGGCGGCGACGAATGCCTTGAAAAGCTCACCCCGTAAGTTTTCTTTCCATTTTCTTTTTTCTTTTTTTTTTTCTTTTTCTTTTTTTTTTTTTATTTGCGAGAATGTCCGGAAGTCGCACCGATAATTCGGCGTCGGAGGGAAAGAATCTAATAGACTCTGCACGTCGAGACTCCCGCTAAATCGCAGGCTTGATTGCCTCGAGAGAGAAATTTGCATGCATAATTACACTACCGAGATGAATTATTATTTATTATGTACGACGTGGAACATCATCTATTTTGCATGCGGAATCGTAAAGCGATAATGTAAAATCGATTATGTATACGATATAGTTGACTATTTTTGAAATAGAGGAACAAAATTACGGGAAGATATTTTTGTATTTTAGGTCAATCTGTGAAATTAGCTGTCACTTCTAGAGAAAATGTCGACATTAATAATTTTAGCGTTTTACATAAATGAGAGAGAGATAATGAAAAGTTTTTTTGCTCAACTTTATTATGAGAGTCAATAAATAATGTGAGGAAAAAACTCTTTATTTCGATTCTGTCAAATTAATTTTATTCTGGCAAAATTTTATGTTGAAATACTTTATATAAGTCTCTCTCGAGACACGTAATTTTTCCGGGTTCTCTAGCAAGCATTTTGATATGGCTATGCGATCGCCCTTTTCTCTCTCTCGGTCTATCATTTGCCGACGTTTATTTTTCATTCTGTTGCGTGCTTTATTGCGTGCATCTAGCAACGAGACGTATAGTTTAGATAAAATGTCGGAACGCGACATCGTCAGCGTCAAAAGGCAATGAACTGTTTCCGAGCATGAACGTGGATAGTAAAAATACGCTGCCTTTTCCCGCACGCGATGGAAAATCGTTGCTACGGAAATCTGGGAAAACAACAACTGCATTACTGTACCAGAGAAACACTGTACTATTGACACTTTGTCGGATATAGAATCTTTGTATCGATTCGCGTAAACGTAATTCTCTTCCGACTTGTGCTCTATTCGCATATTGCAAAATGTCTCTAAGTTATTTTATCAAATATTCAAGTTGTCACAATATCTTTTTTCATTTATTCTAACCAGAAACTAAATTAATATTTCTTGAAATTGTTCGTTATTATTATTTTTGTATTTAAGAGTCTATCATTTTTTATTTTATAAAAGATGATAATTATGAAAGTCAATAAGTCAATAAATAATATGACATCAATGATTAGTAATTATTACAATATGTCACAATATAATTACACTGACAATAATTTAATTTCGCGTGATTATGCATGCATAATTATGTTGAATAATGTAATAATTAAAATCACCTCACACATTATATAATTTTCATCCGATTAAATTTAACGTTTTCCATTTACACAATTTAACTATTCATTCTACCCACAAAATAAAATAACGATTCTTGAAATTACGTTCCTTATTAATATTTTAAGAATTTATGAGTGTTTTTTATTCCCTCTCTATAAAAAATAATATATCAAAGCGTAATAATTAATACGAAGCCAAAAATTTACTGAATATTATGACACATCGATAATTACAAGAATTACAATATCTACAAAGAAAAGATCTAATTTTTTATTATCAACACAAATATAATTATTTAATTTTTATAATTTAATCTCTAATTTGACGTGATTGTGTCGGATAATGTAATAATTAAAATCATCTCACGCATCGTTCGATGAAATCTAGCTTCTCCATTAATTATATGACGGATATAACGATACGTCGATCGGTATTGTATTTTACACGCCGCAAAATTATTTGCATTACCGATCCGCAGAACGCATCGTGCCAATTTGACAGGGGGTCATTTTGACGGAGAGAAATATTCGACGCCACGTATATACGAGCCCATAAAACGTTCGGGGAACTAGAGGGTCCGTCCGTGGAATGGCGTTAGGGACGAGACTGAACGGGAAGAATGTTCATTGACGTTAGAGCTCCCGTGTCCTTGGCAAGGAAGCGTTTCACTGGGACTGGGATCACCCTAGGATCACCCTAGGGCGGCGAATGCCCTCGGAATAGTACGAGACATTGCCCTTTCTCCACCGCGAATAGACGAGTTTTATACAATTTGTTTCGTACAGTTTGACAGTTCGAGATGGACGATTTAATTAAGCTCTCATTTACATCACGTCATTAATTTATTCATGACACAATTTAGCTATTCATTCTACCCACAAAATAAAATAACGATTCTTGAAATTACGTTTCTTATTAATATTTTAAGAATTTATGAGTGTTTTTCAATCCCACTCTATAAAAAATAATATATCAAAGCGTAATAATTGATACGAAGCCAAAAATTTACTGAATATTATGACACATCGATAATTACAAGAATTACAATATCTACAAAGAAGATCTAATTTTTTATTATCAACACAAATATAATTATTTAATTTTTTATAATTTAATTTGGAAGAAGTAAAAAATTCATTATTTATTCGTACATGTATTTTATACGATCGACACGTCCTAGTCGATGACATTTAGTTCATAAATAATAGCTTCGTGAGAGATATATAAATGCGTTGTGTAAACGAGACTCGCGGACTCTTCAATTTCCTGGGCTGTCGGGAGGATATTTTTACGCTAGCATGTAATATCGTGCATTAAACAAAGTTGCTGAAATTTCGTGGGTCCGTAATCATACGCTGAAGACTTCACAGTAACTTTCGCAGATAATTATGTATTCCGCGCGCGCGCCATAAAACAGCGCCTTAATAGAGTATCTTGTTACTCCGCTAACAATACCCTGCGCAACGAGCTTGCCTATAAGTCTCGGAGAAACAACATGACTAAGCGGCTCGGTATACATAAGTTTGCTTCTCGTAAGATAAACTGTAACTTTGTATACTATGCATTTCACATGCTTTACTCTCTCTCTCTCTCTCTCTCTCGCATCAGCAGACTTTGATTAACTTGATAATAAAATTGTTCTACAAGATTTCATCCTCCCTCTCTTGTCTGTCTCCCAGACTTTTTTGTATGTATATTAATAAAATATTTCTAGCGCGATATTTCTTGAAACACGCGGTCGGTATAAGCAGCCATTGTGAATTATAATTATATTTCTTTCGATTGAAATTATCACCTCACTGTGAACACAGTGTGTTAATTAACGTGAAGAGAACCAGATTTAATTTTCTACTTGGCGTAATTAGTTTCGATCTTATAAAGTACGTCCCTTCTACACGCCGTCTCGTTACCTTACGTAATTAAGAGCGCCATCGAAATCCGCTTCCGGGCTTATCCGGACAAAGTTTCTTGCAAAACATGTAATAAAAAAAATCTCGTCGAAAATTGCGAGACGTACATAGTAATGTAATTTACATAGCAAAATCTCGTGTTATATACACATTATAGGTGAAACTAGAAAGTTTTTCACTTAAACATAGGTTTCTTGTCATCAACGTAAATCTAGGTCTCATATTTTTACATGTCGCGTGATAATCTTGAAGGCAATTTTAAGGCAAAATTAGTTTCGTAATAATATTAACAAATTTGGGCAGAGAATTTTAAGAATAGTTCTCAGTAATTATATTTCAAGCTCACAGGAGACACTCACGAAGTGCTAGAACAATTGGAGAAATGCATACATTTTTGAAAAGTATTCGTCGAAACAAGTTCAATGATATGTATATATCATTTCTGTTAAAAATTGAGGGATCAGATTTTGGCCAACGTTCAATTTTTACGCACGTATAGCTTGAGTTTAACAAAATTGTACATGTAAATTTTGCCGTGATAAAGCTGAATCGACTGCACACGCGGAAAGCCAAAATTGAATATTGGTTAAAATTTACCTCTCGCTTTTTGACATTCGATCTCAATTGAAGCAGCAATGATATATATAATAAATATAAATATAATTTTATATATATTATTTATTATTTTCGTATATAATTTTTATTTTTCACACACATCCATTTTTATATACATGTTCCCAAAACCGTTCTGGCGCTTCGCAAACGTTATTCAGCATCTGTAATAACCGAGCTAAGCGTCGAGATAAAAAACTCACCACCTTCCCAGCGCGTGCTCGCGCGATCTTTCGATAAGAAATAGAAGAGAGGAGCTTTTATATTTGAAAGTTGTTGAGGATCGCGCGCGATCGCGGATTCCTTTCAGCGAAATATTTTCGCATCGCGCGGTCGAGCGCGATCCTCTCTTCTCGCGCGAAGGACAGGTGAAGGAGGAGGAAGTGCCAAGACGATCCGTCTTTCAAGGACCGATTCTTTCAGACTGCAACCCACCCTCTTTAGAATTCCCCGTCCGTGGAGGAGCGACGAGGGGTTCGTCGAAGACAAAGACGAGGGAGCGAGAGAAGAGAGCGAAAGAAACGAGGAGACTCCCTGACTCTCCGAGAAGGAGGTGCGGTTGAGCCAGGGTGGTGAAAAAGCGAGAGGAAGATAAGGAGATAAGGAAGATGGGCGAGAGCTCGCCGGATCTCAGCCTCCGGCTACGCCAGGGCAGCTCCGATTCCAGAGACTCCTTCTATATGGACTTCGCTCAGGTAGGAAAGCGAGGCGTCTTGCAGATTAAAAATCATCTGTCTTGAGTAACCGAAGGTAATTACGCGAAAAGATTTCGGAAAGACGTGATGAGAATCACGAGATTATTACAGAGGTTTCGGAATATAATTAGGATATATCTGTGCACGGAATTCAATATATGTGTCTTTGAATCTAAAAAATGCATGTGCGGCAAAAATTGTTGAAATTTGTGTCAATTAAGAGAGCGACAGGAGATAATTTCTGAGTTCGATATAAATTTCTCGATTAGATTATTCTCGAGAGAGATATAATTCTCAGTATATATATTTGACCCCTTCTAAAATCGGATTAAAGCGCAGTGATGTGTCAATAACTGAAATACCACGCCAATAATGTCGCATGTCCCGGATCACAAATCCAATATCCTGAGAAGTAGGACGACTGCAAAATTGATTATTCTATAAGAACGAAATTAAACCGTTTTATCCCGTCCAATTTCAAAGATATAAAACTTGTTACTCCGATATCGGATGTGCTGTCATGTCAAATGGCAATTACAGCGCATTTTTTATCGCCATCAATTTATTTATAAAATTAAATAGCATATTTTTTTGTGTCGTATTTTTAAATCGTCAAAACTGTGTTTAACAAAATTTCTCTTTCTTTATTCTTACGTATACTTGCTCGTAACAGCACTATTGCTACAAATATAAAAATGAATATAAAAATATATTGGCTGCACAAATGTCTTTTATATGAAAAGTATGAAGTAAAAATTATTCCTCGCTGAAAATGAGATTATGATTCCGATACCTTGAATGTACAATTTGAAATCAGGACGGAGAATATCAAACTGTCAACTACAATATCATTCCGCAGGGAATCGATTCGGATATCGAGGAAGTGACGCGACCAGGCGACAATAATTCCGATCCCATGCTGGAAAATCACCTGGAGGAAAACGGGAACGAACTGCCACCGATTGAGGACATCACAACGATCCCGGAAGAGGCTTCCGAAGAGTTAAGAGAGGAAGAAGAGGCGGCTGCGTTGGAGGCTGCGCTTCGAACGCCAGACGGCGGCACGATTAGCACGGAAATCAGGAAACCGTCGGCTGCGACGCTTACGCAGGAGTGAGTACAGAAATTGCATTTCATATCGACCCATCATTTCCATAACTTCCTTTACCCCTTTCTCACTCGAGAGCTACTTATAACACAGTTCTCCTCCTATATAACTAATTTTCGTGATCGTTCATTCTCGCGGATCAAATTAATTCAGGTCGAAGAGCCGGAATTAGCAAAAGTGAGTGAACAGAAAAATCGTGAACCAGCGGTTTAGCAGAGGAGAATTTTCTTCCGAAGGAGTCAAATTTCAATCTTTTCAGTCCGTTAACAGGATGTCCAGCAGACTCAATGAAAAAAATTCCCTGACTTTTTCAGATTTTTTTTTCCAAATATATAATTTACATATATCTATATGATAAATCAATTAAATGTGAAATCATAAAATTCTCGAGATATTTTTGTCAACAATGTAAAGGTGCGGAAGTTAAAACAAAAATTTAAATCAATTTTTATTTAGATTATATGAAATTTTTAGTTTCTATCAAACACATTGAAATAAAATAACACAACGATGAAAATATAAATTAACGAACTCGCTAGATTAATCGATTTTCAACAGCACAGAAAATTAGCGTGTTGGGAGTCGAGGAAAAGTTTATATTTATTTATCAAAAAATTTCAAATTATTGAAACGAATGTAGAATAATGTGAAAAAATGCAGATAAAAAATAAAATTTCCTGACTTTTCCCTGATCGCTAGACATCCTGTTTCAGTTCGTTAATTGAGATGTAAGAATAAAAGACGTACGGAAAAAGGAGAGTCGAAGAAGAAACGAGCAGTCGCCGTCTATTCTGCCGTTTTGTATCGATTGTACGGCGCTTTGTATGCACCACCGCAACATAAATTACAGCCTCCCCTAAAGAGCCCCACGTTTCTCCACGTCTCTTCATTCGAGTGGTCAACGCCAGCGCTCCCGGCGGGCAGCATTAATCACCGTCTGCGATTAACGCGCATTTCCCTCAGTTTCCAGCATACGACCCTGCACTCTGTATACCACCAGCAATTAAACCTGATCGTGAAAAATGCTTCAGCGATTTCGCAGTGACACGCCAATTTCTCCTGCCAATCCATTTCCGAACACGAATTCTTCCGATATGTGGCAATATAAACTGCATTGTTGCATTTATCAACAATTACTGACAATGAGTTTGACTACCAAAAATATTTTTAAATCATTATATATTTATAGAGTTATAACATATTATTTTCAATGTATAAATATTTTTATATACAATTACCGTAATTATATATAGGAATCTAAATAATAAAGATTTATAGATTTGATATGAATTTCATATATATAATTATTGGAATTATACATAATACATCGTTTAAACATAAAGAAAAATATATACATATATCTTGTAGATATGTAATCTTGTCATTGTTGTAAGTGGAAGGAAATTCGTGGCTTCCTCCACATTTCATGCAATAATGCGGCGATCTTTGTTCACGTGTCCATTGCCATTATTCATATCGCAGTGTCTCAAACGGAACGATTTATCGGACCGAATACCACGTCTCTCACGAATTCCAGGGTGCGTCTGGTTTGCGCGGGCGAATTCGGTCCATCCGCGGAACTCGATTACTTCCGCCGGATATCGACGTGAATTCACGTCCACGCGACGGCCGTCGGCGTCAGAGTTAATATTGACCTGTCACTCGGTTATGGCTTACGATCTTCCCTCTCGCTTCCGGTTCGACCTTCGCAGGCTTTCTAACCCTCTCCCACCAAGTCTCCTTCGTGCTACCACCCTCCGAAGCCTCCTCTCCAATCTATCAGGAAAGCAGCTTATTCCGTCGATTTACATGTAGATTCGATCAACTTGAACACATACTCGACATGTCGCATTTTCATAGGAGAAAAATATTATAACAAGATACGTTTTTCGAAACTCATTTTTTTCATTTTATAATAATTCCATTGACAAGCATATACGTAACAGTAAAAGCAATAGAGCTCGTTAAAAATAATTTCTTGTACTGTTAATTTGTGCTGTTAAATTTAAAAAATATAAAAATTGATTATTCATAACGCGATACAACGATGATGTAAAATTCTCTCATGATACTGAGAAATAATTCATATATGTGCAACATGTTTTATTCCGGAATAAAAACTTTTCTGGTACTAAAAGAAGCGAAACTCGACAAAAACATGTATATCCCACACTCCTTCGATGAAAAAAATTCTTTCTCTCTCTCTCTTTCTCTCTTTATCGTCGAATTTGTCGTCTTGATGGGAAAATGGTAGACATGGAGTAGGTCGGGGAAATGCCGTCAGATATTTTCCAGCAAATGTACGAGAACCACCGATGTCGGGAGGTAGACGGAATAAGAGCCGAAGCGTGTGAATATTGAAGTACTTGCATGCATCCCCAATAAGACATTACGCGCTATTTTTAGAACTTTTCCTCAAAAGATATTTTTTTCGAACATCTCCGAATAAAAAAAGGATATTGTTAAAAATTATTTAATTTTTAGAAATTATCTAATTCTTAATTCGACTGTTTCCAAATAATTCTTCTATGTTTCTTTTCTTATATCTTTTCACACAAAATTATCACTTTTATAATTGTGCTTATCAACCCTCGCATATATTATCTATATGCATCCCCAATATTTAAATTACATTTTTTTCCGAATAAAATTGTCATTTTTATGATATTGCTTATCAATTCACTCTTACATATATTATTTATGAATATATTTGTAAATGTATATTCCGAATGTGGCACGCGGAAACGCGTTTTCTCTCAGAATCTTGAATTATTGATCTCTGTTCTCCCCTCACGGTAAATCCTTTCCCTTTCGATTATTTTCCGAATTCACGGCACGTAATCGAGCGATCAGCTGAGGCGCTGGCGATGTAAAGGCACGTTACGTTGCTGCAAATTTGATACACCGCTAACGAGCTCGCTATCAAACAGTCGTATATCCAGGCAGGGATAGAGAGGGAGAACGATACGCGAAGAGAGAAGGATCGATATATATATATATATGATATATATATATACACACATATATACGACGATATGTCAGGGAGCCGGTCTGCCCCGGTTAGGGCCTCAGTTTGTGATGCGGGGTCCGTGAGTGCCGTGTGTCACGAGCCGGAGGGCCGTGATTGTGTCATCCGTTGGTGAGGGCCGTTCATGAGGGCCAACGTTCCGCCGAGACAATCGAGGAAAGTGCGAGTCAAGGTCACGGGTATGCTCATCAAGGAGATGTCCCTCAGGTATCGTTATTTCGCTGCTGCGCTGCGCTAGATATCGCTGACATTTAAACATACAGAGGCATTCATTTCCCCGAGCTTTCACACCTACCTATGTAGATAATCTGACACATTTTAATTACATATTGTTTTTCCAAGTAGAGATTACAAATGTCAGACGTCAGAGTGTCAGAAAATTTACCGCCGCGCGTGAAGAGAATAAATTGAAATATGTAAAAGGAGAGAAGTGTGAAAAATGTGTCGAAAAAGGTGCAAGTGATAGGAAAATGACGGACAACGAAAATGATAAGCGATATTCTCCTCTCGCTGACAGACATCTCGGAAGAGCGTAATTCTCATCATAATATGCGGAAAGTGAAAAGTCAGCGAGCTGGAATTTCTGAAGCACAAAGTTCAAAGGGACTGAGCGTGAAGGGTCCCCAAGTTTCGGAATAAGAGATGTACTTTGACAATGGTTGCGCGGCAATTGAATTCGAATAAAATGCCGCCGACGCTTTTGCGAAAGATTCGCGAGAAAGATTCCTCGGAAAATCGCGTCGAGAAGTGACAGATTATATAGATAACAACGTGTGAAAAAAATTGCGAAAGACCGCTTTTCGTAAAAATACTCGCAAAGTATCTCTATTCGACAAATCCGAAGCGTAAAGCTAAGAAAGTTTAAATTAAGTAACACTTTGAAAAAAATTTGAGACTAACGAATATATTAATAATAATCGATACTTCGCTCTCTTCTGATTTTTTACTCGAAAGAAAAATACACTTGAATGAAGAATGAAATTAACAACGTTGGTACAATGAGGCATCGATCGATTTAAGTTTGCCGGGCTTTTTAAGGAAATTAAATCTGCAAAGGAACCAGGTCAGCCAAAGTTCGCTGAAAAGAATTTTAATAATATAATAGATTCGGTCGGGAAGGAAGAATTACAAAAAAAAGGGAGAAAATGGAGAGAAGGTTCGCGAGGGAGACGTCGGTGGAAAAGCAGAAGGTCCCTACGGTATCTCAAAGGGTAGCCAATGCGCCGGATCCTCAAGCCACGTATACCATCGCCCTTCGCAACGAAGGGATGGCACTCGACCACTGAATCAACCTCTCAGTGCCCTATCTCGTCCTTTCCTTCCCTCGGCCAACGACACCCTCTCTCGCTCCGACGCTTCGCAACGCTACGTGATTATTTGAAAAAGCTCCGAGGCACGAGATGAGCTTCCACCCTTCCATCGCGGCCTTCGTGTTGCGCCAATGTTCTTGTGAAACATTTTTACACCGCCTGCGTGCGCTTCGTGAAAAGGGATTCACTTTCTTCACCCCTTTTCGAACCCCGATATCGTAGGGGTAGGTCGTCGTACTCTCTGTCGTAGGATCGTTTAGCTCCTTAAATACGCGGAATAATCAAAGGTATTCTTTTTTATAATGACAGTTGCGACACTGGAGATTCGAAGCAGTTCGCACAATTTTTTTAAATTGTCTTGATTAAAATTTTCCGGAATTTATGACTGTGTTAGAATAGAAGGAATTTCTTCCAGGAATTTTTTAAGTAAGGAATGTAATCTAAAATAAGAATGTAAGGATAAGTAGATAAAATTGATTCGTGATAATGTGCCTCCAGTTTAATAAAATAAAAATTTCTGAAATATGTGAAACCTATTATTTAATTTTGAGAAAAGACTTTTATGGACAATTAGATCGATGCAATTAACGTTAACTTTGAAGGAGTTCTTACATATTTAGACAATTTTTCATAAATTTATGAAATAAAAAACTTAAATATGTGCAAAAAGCGAGAAAAGGACGTTTTATCGCGTGTCAAGTTAAATAGATCGGCTACGACTATTATTAGATAAACGACCCGTGTTAGAAAGTCAACGCTACGTCATCTAATGACACTCACAAAGTCATCAGCACTAGTCGGTCTCTTCCTGCAGCCAGTGTCAATGTAATGTGTCAAATATTATGATACTACGTTGACCTTAAATTAGGCAATCATGTGGGTTCATAAAAAAAATCATGTTTCTTCAAAATGTACCTGCTTAATCATGAAATCATTTTCTTTTTACATTTTTAATAAATTTTCTACCTAAATTAGTAATAGCAGCTAAATGAATTAATTGGCTACCGATGAATTAAAATTGGCTGCTGATTAAAAAGGAATAAAATATATGCAGGTGTGTAATTTAATAAATGTAGATATAAAATTAAAGCCTTATAACTATTCTAGCCGCACGTGGAAAAGACATTTACCATATATTAAAAATAATGAAATAATTTATTAGAGCTTTTATATCGAACAAATTAATTAATTAAAATTATTAATGGTCTCTGGAAAGATCGCAGTCACTCGCAATTCCCACATGGCGTCATATAAAATAATAAAAGTAAAAAGGAATACACGTATATACGAATATGCATATATATTTCATGCTTGAAGGTGAATTAATCTTTAAATATTGATCAAGCTGTCTCTGCAAGAAAATATTATAGATTTAAAATTGTTTCTGAACAAGATAACTTCTTTATAGAAATTTCTTGAGTCTTTTTTTAAGAACATTTTATTCTTTTCACGATATTGCATACTGGGCGAGAAATAATGCATTTTTATGCCAATGGAAAAAGATGCGGAATATGAATGCGAGATATTGCTATTATGTAATGTTAGAAGAAGCTAGATGAAGAGAAGATAATACGATATGTTCTGCACAGTTGGCCAGGATTGCCGATCGCGCTACCATCACCAGCCTCGCCATCCGCGGTAATCGTCTCGCCGGAAACGCTGTCTAGACACAGCAGCAGCTCACCTTCTCGCGTTCACCGACCACCCCAGTTCGCGTTGGCCCTGCCATGTTCCTCGCAACCGATTCCGGCGGTCTGCTACCCGGCGCCGACCTTCCTCGAGGTCACCGACGAGCGGAAGTGGAAGAACCTTGGATGGTGAGTAGGATCAATCGTTTCGCCATCACCATCCAGGTCGATGTACTCTCTCCCGAGTACAGTATACTCTCGGTACGGGTGTACTTTCCGTCTCGCAATCGCGATTCATTTCTTCAGCAATTAGATATTACATGTTCGGTTATTAATTTGACTGTCTCTGTTATATTAGAAGAATTATTGATCTTTTTAAATCACCGAGATAGCACCGTGTCCAAAATTGGTGCATAAGACATCATTAAGGAATCTTATGATGTGACATCCCAAAAATATCTTAAAGATGGTGCTGTTTGGGCACCTTATATATAATGATACAATTAATTGATATCAATGTTAATTGTTATTAAATTCAATAATAAGAATTAAATTGAATTCACACTCGCAGATTGCAATTAATAATGCTTGTGACTATAATTGCATTGTTTGTTTATAGAATCGTCCAAAATTGATAAAAAATCTTATTAATGATATACTTGTTGCATAATAAAATTTTATAATTTATAAGAAAATTGACTGAAATTAAAATGACGGGTTTCCTCTTGTCAATTTTACTTTATACTATTTCGTGAAGATTCGTGAACTTCAATTAATTTTCGACAGAGATATATATATATGTATATATATAAAGGGGGAATGCCGGTCGTCACGGAAATTTCACGTGATCCTCCAGGTTATCCTGACCGACGTCTGCACTGCAATTACCGGTACTTTATGAATCAAACACACGCGTACAAGCGACCACGCGATTATTCGTAATTGAGCCAATTCTTACGGGGGTGGATGTATTTGCGGCCAATGGTACCTCCGCTGTAATGTTACACGATGATCGAGCTAACGATCCATCATTCACGCGCGGCTGTCCTCAATCTCTCATTTTCGATAATTTCTTCGATAAAATATTTTTATTTGGGTCAGTGCCACAAGAAAAGGTCTTTGCACAGGAGTTTTTATGCCAGAAAAAAATTATTACAAGCTTTTCAATATTGAAATTAATAGATCCTAATTATTGTGAATACAAATTCAGATATGCTAGGCATAGATATTAGGTGCCATAAAATTATTTTTAAAATCCTCTATCGTTATTTATTTATATATCAGAGCCTTTTCGATTTATTAGATTAATGAATAAAATTGCCTGGATATAAAGAAAACATGTCAATTTAAATTCGCCGATAAGAACAGCGAGTTTAATAAACGAAAAATAACGGGAACGGATTTATATGAAATTTCTCATCGACACATTTAAAATTAAGATGGAGTTTAATAAACGACAAGTATTAAGTAAACTGAAGAGAGGAATGCGATTCCTTCAAAAGCACGAGCCGGAGATGGATCTATTTCCTCGAGCGAGGATTTTAATTCACGCGCGACGCGAATCCGCGATTCATTCAGCTTCAATTTCCGTTTCTGCTGCAGCGACGCCCTGGCAACCACTTTGAGCGCGTTGTACGGGAAACTTCTGGTTGTGATGGGGATCGCCTTTCCCATGGCGGAAGTAATATCCACGTACATACCGCCGTCGTTCTATGAGGCTTTCTACCTCTACCTTTATTTCGGCAGCATGATTTTCCTGGTCTACATGTACGCTATGTTGTTCAGAGATGGCAAGTCAAAACCGAGTAAGTTTAAAAAAGTTTCCTTATATCTGTCTGACGAAGATTTTCAACTCGCAGAAAATATCGATGAAGCTCTTGCACGCGAATAACGAAACGTATAAAGATGCATGAAAGTAAATAAAGCCCCTCGAGATCAGACTTGCCACTTATTTGGCATCACTCTCTACATTTTAATCAATTTACAGGGTGGTCCTCGTATAATGATCATCTAAATAATTTTAATTAAAAATAATGATTATATAAATGATTATCGTAATGATTTTAATTAGAAAATGTGATAAAAAAATCATGAATAAAAATTTATGAAAAAATTAATAAATTTTTGTTCATGACACTTCGCGACAGATATAATCATAAGTGCCTTAAAAATCGTGACGACTATTACGAAGATCGCCCTAATTCACGCGGTCACGCAACATTATGACATCACTTCGATGACCTCGAAATTCTTTTCGCGGCCGATGCCGAAGCAAGAGCGATATAATAAAAGCGCTCGGAATTAATTGGTCTGTAAATTGCAAAATTCGCGGAGCAGAGAAGCAGAAGGACATATCGGACCTGGACTCGTCGAGATCGTCGAGCGGCGCCGGCGGCGACAGCGACACGCCCGAAACAGGATGTCCGCACGTGTATACGGGACGTCCGGTCCAGCATTACGGCAGCTTCTATCTGCGAATGGGCGCCGTCGCGTTTGGCATCGGCTCGATGATCTATTCCGGTCTGGAGTTCGGCCAATACTTCGAGCTGGAGCAGAACACCAAGTGTCACAACATCATGCTGGCTCTCACGCCGGCCACGAGGATGGCCTTCATCTTCATTCAAATGTACTTCATATTCCTAAACAATGAGGTGAGCGGATGCCGAGGGTAAACGACACGTGTCTCGTGATCTCAATTTTAATGATGGACTGCTTGAGCTATTTCAAATTGAATTTTTCTTAGCGAGAGGAAACGGAAAACGGAAACGTCCATTATTTGTCTGTATATCATTTTCCATTTTTCATTTCATCTTCGATTTTTAATTATATATTTTTATCATTAAATCTTAATTCAATTAAAATCTTTTTAAACTAAATTGAGAATGAAATAAAAATTGGATTGTATAATTTGTATATAATTTTTCAATTTTTAATTATGTGTTTTTGTTATTTAAATCTCTAATTAAAATCGTTATTAAAACAACAAATTTAAAATTGAATAGAAAATATGATTGTTGTTATAAGAAGTTTAGTAAAAAAAAATAATCTGTATTTTACGTAACATTCGCTTAGAAAATCTTTACGTTGATTCCTTGAGAATCGCTGCACGTGCTGTATCGGAAAACTTTGATGCTGTAACTTGATGGGAAATCCCCTGATGGAAATATCGAGCTAACACGAGCTCGTCGGTTACACGGTTAATGAAACAGAAGGGTGAATAACCCTGAAAACAATAGCGGAACACTATGACTATCCAACGCTCTAGTGCTTCATTGCGATGCAAAACATTGAATGCTCCTCTTATTAACGTAATCTTTATTAAATTAAACCTGGATTATCTAAATAAATCCCATAGATTATAAATAAAAAAATTTTATCCGAAAGAAAAAGATTATTGTTGAAAAAATTGTAATTTTGCGTAATTTATTTTTGTTATATCCCTATTATAAATATATATGTTGAACAAGAGAGGAGATATTTAGCAAAAAAATTTGTTGAAATAAATACGCGTTACAATTTGATTTTGACGATGAAATGATGTGATATGTTGTAGCAAATGAAGGTTTATCGCCATCGCGTCGTAGCTCGTTTCGGACTAATGCATATGATTGGCACAAATCTGTCAGTCTGGCTGAACGTTCTCATACAGGAAACGAAACACGAGATCCTCACTTTCTACAATCCGGAGAACAACTCTCTCAGAATCTCTCATAGACTAGGTAAAGGCAAATTAAGACGTTCTTTTTTTTTTAATTACACGATTCGAGATTCTGACACTCGAACTTTCAGGCTCCAAGGGTGGATTTCACCCTTTCGGCGGACACATTCATTCCCATCACGGGGAACACGTGCGGCTCCCGCGCGGTCTCAAAGGACCCCATCACTTGTACGAATGCAGAAGAACGAATATAATGGGATCGTTGGTGCAAGACGCCAGCCCCTTCCTTTTCCCGTGTACGATAGAATATAGCTTGATTTGCGCAGCCATTTTATACGTTATGTGGAAAAACATATCGAAAATCGGATTCACGCAGCCCACAACACCGCCTGGTTCGCGTCATCACGCACACGCCTACAGGTATATGGTGACAATACACCCGTTTGCGGAGCGATAATAATAGGCCTACATAGATGTACATATGACAGTAAACGCGCGAACGACAACCCAGTTTGCAAACTAATTCCATCAGCTTATATTCGCTCGCGTGAATAATATTTGTGTCTAATATTTATGCGAAGCAAATATACGCGTACTAAAATATTATTATTACAGAATTCCGCGGTGCAAAAATATTTCTAACGAAGTAAACGTCTCAATTATCCGCAGGAAATCGCCTCATCATTACAGCGTGGACTGCGCCCGCGCGCACAAGGGCCTGTTCGTGGGCATTCTGATTCTGGTGCTGACCATAATCTCCCTGATCCTCTTCTTCGTCCTGATTTCGCGGCCCGAGCTGGTCAGCCTCGCCGTGACCGAGGTGAACGTCTGCGAGCTGACGCTCTACGGGATGTCCACCCTGGCGACGTTGATCGGCATGTTCCAGATGCGGAAGCTGCGCTACGATGGCGGAAGAAATCTCGAGCTCGACAACATCCTCCTGGTGGCCGCGCAGACCGGCATGTTCATCTACTCCACCTTCACCATCATCGGCGGTCACTTCACCCTGCAGAAACACACGGTCCTCGTCCTGGTCACCGCGCTGGCCAGCGTAGTCCAGACCACCTGTCAAACCATCTTCATCCTGGACGCGTCCAGACGCTCGGTGGCCACCGCCGAGCAGATACGCCGAAAACCGGGCAGGGAGATCGTGACGTTTCTGTTGGTGACGAATCTGGCCATGTGGGCAATCAACACTCTGGAGAAGTCACGCGCGGAATCGCATCCCGTGCAGTTGCACTTCTACGGCCTGTGGGCGTGGACGATCATCACCCACGTCTCGATGCCGCTGGCGATCTTCTACAGATTCCACAGCACCGTTTGTCTGTGCGAGGTGTGGAAGCGGGCCTACAAGGTCAAGCCGACCTACATGTGACGCAAGAGGTCCCGCGAGATCATATGGAAGACCGGAAGTGCGCCACAGCGGCCCAAGAGCCAGCAGTCGAGGCTTCACGTCATCGCGGAGAACGATCCGGCGTATTTCATATGATCGAGAGAAATATCGAATCGCCACGATCGTCGAAGATGGCGCGAAAACCGTCTCGAGGAAAGAGAGTATGTTAGGCGGCGTCACAAAGAGTAGTCATCGTCGAATTTTCGTTTCAATGGACAGAACTTTTCTAGACATTCCCAGAGCACGCGATTCACGCGATGATACATACACAATTCATATTTTGCGCGAGACTTGTATTCTCTCCAAGGGCTCTCCAGGGAAACATTTTTGTAGAAATAGATTCGAAGATTTCTAATGACATTTTGGATATATATACATATAAAATGCGTAAATAGATTACTTCAAGAAAAATGCATTTCAGCGAAAAAATATTCATAACGAGAAAAAACTGTCATGTAAACACAGTAAACAGTGTGTTACTTCGTCATTTATCGAAAGTCGATGTCCCTAGTCTAGCGTTGTACAAATATATTTCGTCAATATATAAATATCGACGAAGGACTATAAAATTGACATAACGCCGCTCTTTGAAATATCAATCAATTTTTAAAAAGTGTATCACACCTGTCTATCAAAATAATCATGCGAGAGGAAGAATTTCAGCAAAAATCATAGAAAAGCGGAGACTATCTTCGGAGATGCGTGAGATTTCGATAAGCCGATTTATCGGAACACAATATTATATACATGGTCTTCTTGACTACTTTTTAGAGATTTCAATGTTAATCCTCTTATTCGCCATTGATATTCTGTAAATAACCTCTTTACCACGCTGCAAAACCTCCGCAAAGCAGGGAAGATTTATACAAACCGCACGAGCGCGCACTCAATAGAATCGCGAAATTTCAACGCGATAATATAAAGGGAGACACGATGACATTGATATTTGTCGCTTTCTCACAGCTTTTACCCCGCGCGATGAGCCTACAAAGCAAACAAATGACAGCACGAATTATCCACCGTCTATCAAAGAATTATTCGACGAACGCAAGTTCTACAGGATGTAACAAAAATGTAGGCCGTTCAGGAGCATATTCTACTTATCGAAAAAAAATCATATAAATATATGTTCAAAAATATTTTTTAATTGGCTCCTTTGTCCTGCCAATGCTTGACAGATGCTGCTTACGCACAATTTTGGAAAACATTTTTCTAGAGAATTAATTATTATGAGAATTATTTTTTTTTCTAGTCTTGCATCGTTGAAAATAAAATAATATGTTTTTTAATTATCTTAAATTTCAAGCTAAATATGACTTCAACGTGAAAACGTCATTTTTATTTATGTGATTTTTTTGTTCATTTTAATGAGTAGAATTCGCTTCACATTTTTGTTATACCTTGTGTAAATTAGCGTGGCGGACGAAAGCGATCTCGTTATTATCTCGAATATCGATTCTCCATTATGTGAATAGGATAGGAGATAAAAAGAAGATCGTTTATCTACTTCGTGTACAAAAGATTATCTGGAACAATCAATTGTACTTCTCAAATCGATCAAACTGTGTTTAGACCTACAAAAAAAATCTCCTTAAATCAAATTCATTGATAACGTTAACAATAATATGTTAGTATATATCTTGTAAATTTTGTCCTGGTTTAAAAATATTCAAGTATAATAATTTTCTCGATTCAATCGATTGATCGACATAAAAATGTAAAAAGTCCGCGAAGAGAAACAATATATATATATATATATATATATATATATATATATATATATATATAATCATATAAATATTGTTTAAATGAGCGCTGCTCACTCTCAAATGTCCAAAACGCAGGATTCTTAGATGACAAAAAATGCCCACGCAGTTATAGAAATAAAAAGGATTAGATTTTTCTTAGACTCGCAATCTGGTCGAAGCGGCTGGCCTAGGTCTTCGGCTCTTAAAAAGGGAACAATGAATTCGTTCGATAAATTTTTCTATCTATTCCGAGCGACGAGTGAGAAGAAGGAACGCACAAAGAGAGTTTTCTTTCTCTTTCTCTCTCTCTCTCTGTCTCTCTCACTCTCTCGTAAGACTGAACCGAACGTGAGAGGAGCGGTCGAGATGGGCCGAGCATAAATCCTGATCCACTTTGAACCGAGTCGTCTGGCCATAACCCGTTCGTTCGACGCTCGTATATAATAATTCATGGCACTCGAACACTCTCACGGACATCCGTCTTCCACGTAGTACAAAAACCGCAGTTCAAACAACAGCAATCGTCCATGCAGATGGTTCGCGAACTAAAATAGCGATGGGAGATTACAGAGATTACAGAGAGTACAATAGTATAAGAGATAATCGTAGTGCACCGATATATTGTTCGCAGATATTTTCGATAAAGAGATAAGGAACGAAATTATCCCTCTATTTGACGAACGAATAATTAGGAATTAATTAGGAATATTTTCATACAACAATAACAATGTTCATTATACATTCTCTATCTATATCTTTCGGTTCTCTATATTTTTAATTCGACACGAAATCGATCGTTCGCACCGACAACTTCATATTTTACTCGCACTCTATTTATGTAAAATTCAAGATGAAAAGATGAGATATAGATATTAAAATATACATATATTTGAAAACGAGACGCACAAAATAAATCCAACAACTTTAACATTTTATACTTAAAAGGATGAAGACAAGAGAAATATAATTTTACACATTGTACTATCGTAGAGAAATCAATTTATAGAGAAAATAATTAGTATTGTGCTGTACAATTAATAGTACACAGATATTTTATTATTGACTTTGTATTATTAAGAGAAAAAAATTCATTTGACGTCAGGAAGAGTGATCAGGATTCTCAAATCGATGCGCGAGAGATTCGTGCAATTTTTTTTTCAGGACTAGATACACAAAAACGAGAAGCGATGACGCGTTCGAAGTAGAAATTACAACAGTACAACGGCTGATCATATCATTAAGCCTTAAAATCCGTCGAGAAGAGTGCTGTCCGAACTCTAATAAGGGAGATAAAAAGGGGATCAAGATCGATCGCGATCGAAGGCGAAACTAGAAGCGACCTACTCCGAGTTTCTTTCGATGCTCAACAACAGATGTGATGATGAGAGGATCACAAATGCGAACGGAAACAAATCGAAACGTGACGTCACGGGTATGCATGTGCGTGTGCATGGAAGTGTATATGCGTGTGTGGTCTTGTACATGAAAACGTGAGAAAATAGATACGGGGGAAAAAAAGGAAGAAAAGTCGAGATCTAATCGGAAATATGTATAAGCGTTCATAGATAATACGTGTTCGTGCTAGAAGCTTCGATATATCGATTATCGCCGTTGCGAATTATATAATTATCCGATCGATTTTTTGTAAGATATATAGTTTCTCTAAGACGGTTGTAAATAAACGGAGGGGAATATACAATAAAAGAGCGAAATTAATTCTCTCGGTGTTTAGCGCTAGTTGTGTCGACATGTTTCTTCCTATAGCATATATATATATATATAATATACATATATTATATATATACACACATATTTATATATACAAGATATAAATATATTTATTATTATACGTTGTTCTATTATAATATTTATTGTAATATCTGACATTATAGAATTTACGCGCGACATGTTACGTTTATTGAAAGTCCCGAGGACTCATGCCGAGATCTCATGTTTCTTTTTCCTCTCTCCTTTGCTTCTTTTATATATTCTTACTTCTAAACAGGGCAGTTAGAATATCGCGATATAAAAACAAAGGACGAATATTTAAACAAAATTATGAAGAAAAATATTAAAGATTAATTTAGATTTTTTCAAATTTATTTATTTAAACAATAATCCAAATTTCATTTCTAATTCGTCTTAGTCTTCTTGGAAATTTTAGACTTCTCTCGTGCACATCGTTGACGCATTTACGGATCTCTCGGCGTGAGTCTTCTCCGTAAAAAGAATGAAAATCAGGGCGAAATTATGAATGGACGCAATTCGCACTCGCGAGTGATATAAGAGAAAAAAAAACGGAGTAGAGTAGAAAAAAGGAGGTTTTCTCTTTGCTATATCACATCTCTAAACTGTACTTTTTCTATGTCCGCATAATCTAGTTCCTACGCAATGTTTGTACTCTTATACCCTTTGTACTATTTGTACCTTACGAATTGCAATACACTCGTCCGCAATAAACGAAACGCATTCATTTTATTGCTGCACACGATCGCAAACACATTTCCGTCATATTAATTCCGTAATATATAAATCTTCGTCGTTAGAAATATAGAAAGTATACGAAAAACACAATATATCGAGTTAATAAACCGCATTTCATTCTACTATGCTTGCTCGATAATCGGACGAAAGCGACGTCGAGGTGAAATTTCAATCACGAACATCGGGAAATAACACTTTCTACATAATGCAAAGTTTGCTTCGTACTGCGCGATAGTCGGTCGATGCAGCGAAACGATGGCGAATAATTCAAATAGCGGCGATTCGTGACCGAGCGACCTAAATACTGCCGATTTCGGAGTCGATTCTGCGACTCCTATGTTCGTGATCGCTCGATGCCGAGACCTTCCTCGTGTCCAAGGTCATCCAGTGACCGACCCTCAAATTAAATCTAATGGAGAATGAGATCCGCATCGCGCGCGACTTTCACTTTGCAAAATCCGTTTCGCGCGAATTAAAAGGTACTATCAATTTACTTGATGAGTCTATGTCACGAATAAATTGTAATTATGTAATAATTACCGCTTGTAATTCCAGTATTTATTTTTAATTTTACTATTTCATGCTTCATTTTATAATCTATAATGTTGCATTAAATATTTTTTTTAAATGTTATATAGAAATATTTATATATATATATATATATATAGATTCTTACATTTGATGTGATGGTTGATAAATCGCGTTTTCGCGAAATTTATATAATGAAACATTAGTATTAATGAAATTATTAACAATAATGCATATTGCGAGCTGCTAATATACACATTATATCGTAATGAGTGTCGTCGTAATGAAAATTAACAAAATTAATTCGATGTTATATATTTGAAAAATAGAGACTACAAAGAGGATAATTGCGAGTGTTTCATATGCTGCTGATGTAACAGGAGCGTCCCCCTGAGTGCTCTTAAGACATAATTAATTAAATTGACAAATGGAGAGTATACGCTCTTAATTATTCCATCGTGTCGAATAAACTCGATCGATTAAACATATACTTTAATTAATTCACAAAAGTATACACAAATATTACCCGATGCTAATTATCGTCTCGTTAATTTTTAATAGACATTATCAAAATTGTATTCAAATATACGATGGCTTATCGACTTAAATCAAGAGTTTCCGCAGTATCCAAAATTTTTATTTATTTCTACTTTTTTAATTTATTTCTTTCGTATTAATATTTTAATTAATTTCAAAATTAATTAAAATATGAATGTAAAAGTGAATGAATTTACGACGAGAGCTACAAAAAGCGTGAGTCGAGTTCGCGAGAACTGGATGCACCGCGGACGTTTTTATCGCGGCACGTGAGAG